CTACGTGTTATGAATTGCGTATTTACGTGTCGTTATTATACCACAGAAATAATACATGTTAGTTAAAAGCCCAAATCAACACACACAAACACACACACACGCACACACACGCACACACGCACACACATATACACCTTCATACGCATGTACCCAAATCATACGCACATGTACACGCATAGATATACGCCAAAAATACAAAAATAATGCGTCATATATATGACGCATTTATGTAAAAATCGTAGTAGAGAAGTAGTAGTAGTAGTTGTTGTAGTAATAGTAGTAGTAGTAGTAGTTTTAGTAGTAGTGGTAGCAGAAAATGCAAAATTAGCAGCAGTAGCAGTAGTGGAGTAGTAGTAGTAGTAGCAGTAGCATGGATCTAGATCAGGATTTATTGCCAAATATCATACAACATGCCACAACTACATCAATAATAATATAAATATAACAACATCAATAATAATAACAACAACAATAAGAAGAAGAAAAATAACAACAATAACAGTAACAATATTTAAAATGAATAATTGCAGTTGTAAAAAATATTAATGTCGCCCGACGTATCTGGTTGGTTGTGTTAGCTCTCAACAGCTGCACGATCATTATCACCGTCGCCATCATTATCAAAGCTGATTTTATTCGACATCATCATCACCGCCACAACCATCATCATTCTTCTCCTCCTCGTCATCATCTTAATCATCATCATCACCGCCATCACCACCACCACCACCACCATTGTCATCGTCATCACAATAATCATCATCACAATCATCAACTTGTTGGTCTGGAACAAAAAAAACTAGATATTTTCTAATACCTTATTGTTGTCATGTCATATAGATAAAATTTATCTTTTTTTCATCATCATCATCATTGTCATGATTGTCACCGTCATCATTATCATCATCACCAGCATCATTATCATCATCACCATCATCATCAGCATCATCAACATCATCATCATCAGCGTTATCATCATCATCAGCGTCGTCATTGCCCTCATCATTATCATTAATATTATCATATATATATATATATATATATAAATATATATATATATATATATGTATATATATATATCAAATCGTTCCATTCGTTTACTCATCCAACAATTCATCCATTCATCCATCCATCAACTCGGAAAATGCAGGTTTGTTATCTCGTACATGCAATGGTTTGAATGTCACGCTGACGAAGTTGGTTGGAAAATTTTTTCTTTTCAACACGCACGACACACACGCACACATTACACACACACACACACGCACAACACACACACACATTACACACACACGCACAACACACACACACATTACACACACACGCACAACACATACACACACATTACACACACACGCACAACACATACACACACAGACACACACACACATCTAAACAAACGAACAACGACACAACAAACATATTCATTAACATGGTCGCCTAGCTGTCACGGCGACATGAGGGCGTGAACTCGGAGTTTGAACTTTGAACTCTCGATAAACAACATCGTTACCAGTTTCATTGACGTAAATCAACGTATTTATTAAGAGGTTATTGTGTTAGTGCCAGGCTCTTTCTACGGCGATGGACGGATGAAGGAATGAATAGATGGATGGACGGATGAAGGAATGAATAGATGGATTGACGGATGAAGAAGTGAATAGATGGATGGACGGATGAAAAAATGAATAGATAGATGGCCGGATGAAGGAATGAATAGATAGATGGACGGATGAAGGAATGAGTAGATGGATGAACGGATGAAGAAATTAATAAATGAATGGACGGATGAACAAAGGAAAAGATCAATAAATGGATGAATAAAAATTAGTAAACAACAGATCATCTAGGAGTTTACATTCGACAATATAATGAATGACCACGCCAGCCGTAACAAAAATTACTATAATAAACCATAATTCAATAAAGTACTGCAGTATAAAATAAAAATGCAAAGAGCTGTTTTGGCTTATTGAGAGTGCAACAAATTTTTCGCAATGATGTCTGTATAAAATCTGTTTGTAAATCAATCTAACCTAGAACTCACCTACAACTAATTTTGGAAAATTACAACGAAATCGCAAGTTGACTAAGAAGAAGGTTACAAAAATTTTTTTAAGACTTTCAAGCCATACACTTAAAATTTCTTACTCCTCTACTCTACAGTGAGTGGACCGTATTATCCTAATGATCAAAATTACGTAACACCTGAACTCAATAAATTTTTACAATACTTGTTGGTATGAGATTATCCAACGCATACGAACAAAAATAAACACACACATGCAAGCACATGTACACCACACACACACACACACACACACACACACACACACACACACACACACACACACACACACACACACACACACACACACGGGATAATTTAGTTTGAATAATTGAAGATGTTTAAAATTGTAACCCAAAGAACGATGTATTAGAATCATCGCGATGGTATATGATATCGAACGAACGACCGATGAGGCAACTTGGTTGTAGCGTGTTATTACTATTTTTACTACTGATTTTGCTACTAAAACTACGGCTTTTACTAATGCCACCACCACTACTACTACTTCTAATACTACTACTTCTGATGTTGCTGCTACTGCTGCTTCTAATACCACTACAGTACCACTGCTACCAACAACACTGATATCACTACTACCATTATAACAAGTACAACTGCTGCTGGTACTGCTACTTCTACTGTTACAAGTACCACAACTTTAAATAGATAACAAAACTGCAAATTGAAAGGACAAAATGAACAAGTTGGTGCCTTTATTAAATCACAGAACATTGAGTAGGACCCACAAACAAACACACGCGTCCAAAAAATTACAAACATCGATATAATATTTTCTCATAAAAAATATTATTAAAAGTAGATCAGAAAATATTCAAGATGATATGAGAACAATGTTATATGTAGGTTATGGATATATATACAATACACATGCATATATACAAATATCAATAATTATTTATAAGTACGTGTAAAGATAAGCTTACAAAGTTTTGTACATACGCACTTAAGCATACACATAAATCTAAGTATACACCGAATATCAAAAAGCTGGCATTTTGTACGCCACTTCAAAATATTAATTAAAATCAATTAAATTTTAAATTAGAAATTAAATAGGATACGTATAAATGTGTAAGTTAAGTAATTAATATAAAACAGGTTAAGCGAGGTGAATGATTTTTGATTGAAGTTTTAAAATATTCTACTAATAATAGAAACATGCTGATTGCGTGCCGAACGCAGTCTGTATCTGTATCGAAGGATTTCTGGAGCGCTCCCATTGAATAGCTTCACTCGAGAATGTCAAAACCAATGATGTTCCAGACGTTTCTTGAAAACATTTCGGCTCATGTGGTTGAATTTCTATGGCAGTGGTACTAAAGTTTTTCAGCCCGGTCGCAAGAATAAGGATAAAATATACCAAACAGAAGAAAAAGTAAAACCAACTCATATCAATAAACGAATGAATTGAGAAAGAACAAGAGAATTGACGAATTAATAAATGAATGAATGGATGAATAAATTGATTGATTGATTGGTTGATTGGTTGATTGATTGATTGATTGGTTGATTGATTGATTGATTGATTGATTGATTGATTGATTGATTGATTGATTGATTGATTGATTGATTGATTGATTGATTGATTGATTGATTGATTGATTGATTGATAGATTGATTGACTGATTAATTGATCGATTGATTAATAGAATGATGAAAACAAACAGAGACGAATGGAAGAATAAATGAAAAAATTAATGAAACATTTTATAAATCAATTAAATTAATTAATGAAATGACATCCAACGAATAACGAAAGTCTAAATGATAGACACATGAACGATCGAATGAACTTATGGATGGATGGATGATTGAATGAACGAACGAATGGATGGACGGATGAATGATTAAATGGAGAAATAAGCACCAAACAAACGCTGGGATAAAGAAGACGAGATTGAGACAACAGTGATGAAAGATTCTAGCATTAAGGATAAATAAATTTTATAAAAATCACCCAAAATGTTGCGTGCGTAATTAAATAAACTGGATAAAATTGTAAAAAGGAACATGGCAATTACAAAAAAAGCAACAAAACAAAATTTTGCAATAATTTTATAATAAATTGAAATAAATATTAAAATGAATTAAAAAGTAGATAGAACACATTCTTTCCTACCATCATCACATTCATCCTCTCTATGGCATTATTTATTCAAGCCATTATAATTTTCATCATCATTGTAAAAATCATCATTGCTATCGTATTATCACCATCTCAATTCACCAGGAATCACTGCTGTCATTAAAGTCATCATCACCGAAGAAAAAATCATTCGCTCAAGCCTTCATAATTTGTAATGCAAACAAAAAAATAAAATATATGTAAAAGCAGGTAGTACTAAATTACGTGTGTATAAACAATATATCAACAACTAAACAAAAAAAAACACACTTTTATTAACACAAATTTTTAAACAAAGCTGTCACTTACACAACACAGAAAAAGAAGAAGAAGAAGAATGTTGCAATGCTGCGTTGTGAACGCAAATAATCGTAAAAGATCTGATCGAAATGAAAGTCTAATTTGGACCGATTTTTTACAAATATGAGAATGGAACTGAGAAGATTCTCTCCAGATGCACCAAGATGACCCAAAAAACAAAAAAAAACTCGCAATCAGAATTTAGAATTACATGATTAAAAAATAATTTAAAAAATTACAAGCTCAGTTAAAGCAAGTTTTTCGAATCACGATCAAAAACACAAAACGGACATTAGAATTTTAAAAACATTTCAAACAATCACAGAGAGGTGATTTGGAAGAGGTACATACAACATGTGTGTGTGTGTGTGTGTGTGTGTGTCAGTGAGTGTGTCAGCAAGCATATAGATACAATAGATACATATTATGCGGTAAAATAAGGCAAGACCAAACGACATTAATCGCAACAAAGCGACATAATTGAACAATAAAAATAAAAACATTACAAACAATAAAATTAAAATAATTAAAACGATAGATTTATAACAATATTAGCGAATTTTCAATTATTCTCAATGCTAATAATTTTTAACAGAACACAAGTGTCCCTTTAAGAGTAACGTTTGTCATTGAAAACTAAACAATTGACGTCGTTAGAAAAACCCAGCAGAAAAGTCTGCACGAAAAAACAATAACAAAAACAAAAACATTAATCATTACAGTACTACTACTACTACTACTAATTACAATATAAACATAATTATAATATAATATAAAATTTATAAATAATTATAAAACGCAATATTGAAACGTCTGTGATGCAGCAAATAATAGCGTAGGCGTTTTACTTTCACTTTCGCGGGAATTATTAAACTATCGTCATAAAAAATTTCATCATCATAGTCATTATCATTTTCTCCAGCATCATCATCACCATCATCATCATCATCATCATCAGGAAGACCATATCTCGTAAACGAGTTTGGGGATCTCCACCTTTCCACCCCACTCCATGACGAACGCCTCCTCCTCCCTCATTTGAATCTCCTTCAACGTGCGCATCTGCAACACGCAGCTGATGAAGTGGGCGAACCTGGTGTGGTCGTTGTGGTCAGTTGTGGTCGTTGTGGTTTTTATGTGATCGTTGTGGCTAATTGTGTCGTTGTTAGTTGTTGTGTGTGGTCGTTATTAGTTGTTGTGGTCGTTGTGGTTAGTTGTGGTTGTTGTAGTTAGTTGTGGCCGTTGTTAGTTGTTGTGGAATAAGGTGAATTGTTATGGTTGCTAGGATTAATGTGGGTTGTAGTTGTTAACGCCATTCACGAAATGTAGATCCGTTACAGCTACTACAAATAAAACTTAGCGCGCTACCAACATGGCTAAAAACGTCAAAAGCAGCTAGCTGCAGCTACCAAAATCAAAAAAATATATTTACTGAAACATTTTAAGAACCTCGAACGCTTGCCATGGCGCTTAGTAGCATGTTGTAACGTTATTAAATATTGGAAAAGAAAGCCAAACTTATTTAATTTTTGATCCAAGATATCACAAGAAGAATTATAAATCCTAAAAAATAAAATCATAAAACTTTCTCCTCCTCCTCCTTCTCATCATCATCATCATCATCATCCTTTTCTTCTCCACCATCAGGACGACCCACCTCAACTTATCCTCTGGATGGTACTTCCGGAAGAGGTAGTAGAGACACTCCAGCACCAGGTTCTGACTTTTTTCAACGAGGTGAGGATCTTGCAGGTTGCATGTATCTGCATTTGATGATGGGGGTGGTGATGATGGTGGTAATGATGATGATGGTGGTGATGATGGTGGTGAGATGATGATGATGATCGTCATCATTCATCACACTGTTATTATCGCCGCTGCCAAATAAAATCCTTATTGCAAAAATTATCATTACTATTATCACCGTTGCTAAAATAACCAAAAATTATGACTACGAACTTTTAAACTAGCCATCCATCCATCCATCCATCCATCCATCCATTCATCCATTCATCCATCCATCCATCCATCTATCCATCCAACCAACCATCTAACCAACCAAATTTTTAACCAATTACTTAACTGACTGACCAAATAACTTACCAATTGAACAACTGACGGACCGTCAAACCAACCGATCATCAAACCGACCAACCAACTGACCAACTAACCAGCCAACCGACCAACCAACCAGGAAACATGACACAGACAGCCCCCATGATGCAGGTCTCTTCGACACTCAACTGCATCCTCTGCAGGTAGCCCTCCAAGTGGAACATGGCGTCCAAGAATTCGCAGTTCTTCATCCTCTTCATGTCGTCCACGTGGGCCACCTTGCCGCTCTGCGTAGTGTAAAGCATGTGCTCCACGTTGAACAGCTTGTGGCAGAAGATCATCCAGGCCTCAAATTTAGAAGCTGCCATGATGACGATGGTGACGATGGCGGTGATGATGATGATGATGGTGGTGATGATGATGATGGTGGTGTTGGTGATGGTGGTGGTGATGATGATGGTGATGATGCTTGTGGATAACTTGATATAAGTGGAAAAGTTTTCAGATAGATAAGTATCTATTAAATATTATTAAACCCGCTATCATATTCACCGCCAAACCTTTTTTTGGCGAAGTTTTTTAAAATTAAAATCGTTTTTCACGGAATCAATCTCGACTAAAATTAAAACTATTAAAAAGTTACAACCATACCATAAGTGAATGCGTTTTCTGACAGGCATTAAAATGAAAAAATGGAGATGTGAGCACTAACCCTTGATGAGGGTGATCTGGTCGCTGATGCAGAGTTCGTTGAAACCTGGAATGGTCTTGGCGAATGATATGTACCGCTTGATCGATCGCTCGATGTGAGGCAGCTCCTCCAATAAATGCTCCTTCCGTCCATCCAAGTCTATGCCTGGTTGGTTGGTTGTGTGGTTGCTAATTGCTGATTGATTAGTTGTATGGTTGGTTGATTGATTGATAGTTTAATTGCGTGAGTGGCTGATTGGTGTTTGATTAGTTAGTTGAATGGTTGATTTGTTAGTTGAATAATTCTTCATTAGTTTGATGAATAAACAACTATAATGTTTGTTGAAGTGGTAGATAAAAGAATAGAAATCTAAAATTCTAATGCTGGTAACAATCACTAATATTATTCTTTGAAACTACAGCATCATATTTCCGCCCAAGTCACCACCATCTCCACCATTATTCTCCCCATCATAATCAACTACACTATCATTACCATTGTCATCGTCATCACCACCACCCTCATCAACGCCACTATCATCACCACCACCCCCACTACAACCTGTACTCTGATAGACCCTTTCATATTCATCTTTCGACAGTGGCTTCAATGAGCCAAACACTTCGATCTGCAGAGCTCGCCTCTCCTTTCATTTTAAACAACAATAATTATTACAATTAATAATTATTATTTATTATTATTAATATTATTATTATTGTTAATCGAAGTAGAAGTAGGACAACGAGATGGTGCAATGGTTAAGACGCCTGGTCCTCCCTGATGCTGCAGTGCCTGGGATCGAATGCAAACAGATCCCCATCTGTCACATGCAATGTTGCTGGTACCTTTGAGAGAGAATTACGAGAAGGTTAATTGTGCTCACTACAGACAGCAAGCAACTACTAACGTTACGGCCAGCGCTCTAAACAGCTAGTTAAAAACTACTACTACTACTACTACTACTACTACTACTACTACTACTACTACTACTACTACTACTACTACTACTACTACTACTATTACTACTACTACTATTACTACTACTACTACTACTACTACTACTACTACTACTACTACTACTACTACTACTACTACTACTACTACTACTACTGGTCTTAATAGTAAAATTGTTACCACCACAGCATCAGCGTCAAATTTCTCAAATAAATATTGTTAGGTTGTTTATTTTCTGCCATTGTTTTTATACAGCATATTTACGTATTTACTGAACGAGTGAATGAACGAAAGAACGAGTCAATGAATGAATGAATGAATGAATGAACGAATGAATGGATGAATGAACGAACGAACGAACAAATGAATGAACAAAAGAATGGATAAATAAATGAATGAATAAATAAACGAATGAATGAATGATAAAACAACTACAATTTAGTTGGATGTTTGTAGCAAATTTGTGACAACTTTCAGCAGCTGTATAGTATTTTTTGTGGCAATCTTACAGTAATCTTGTGGTATTTTTAAAAATAGTAAAAATGAATAGCAGTAAATTTCAATAAAAAAATTTTATAGTAATTAAGTACTGACTGACTGATGATAATAATATTAAAGTATATATGTAGATTTTTAAAAGAAAAAATTAAAAATTTTGCAGTTACTTACCAAAAATTCTTTCTGCATTTGAGGTAGTCTTTTGTGAAAATCTTCAGTAAATGAAGTATTCTTCAGGAAGGTTCCCGTGATGTTGTTTATTATCTCTATTAACTTTTCATCTGGGTTCTTGCTGTCGAAATTGTAGTTGCTAGGACTAATGTTGATGGCAGTAAGGTTGTCACCGTTGTAACTGTTGCTGCTGTTATTGATGTTGTTGTAATTGATGTCGCTATTGTTGTTGCTACTGTAATCATTATTGTTGTATTTAACGTTGATGTTGTAGGTGCAGTCATTGTTGTAACTAAAATTGTTACGGTTTTCAGCCTTATTTATATAAGAGTAATTGAACTTTGTGATGTCATTGTCACTCGTCATAACGCTTTCTTTAGTGTCGTTGTTGTTGTTGTTTTCGCTGTTGTTGTTGTTGTTGTTGATCGCGGTGTTGAGAATGGCGTTGATGTTGTTGTTGTAATTGTTGCTACTCTCATCAGTGTAGTTGAAAAAGTTGACGTTACTATGTTCCTCATAGCTTATTTCATTATTATTATTATTAGTATTATTGTTGTTATTTTTGTTGTTGTTGTTGTTAACATCAATGTCCAAAGAATATTTGTAACTTGGTAGATTTTGTTGATGCTGGTGATGTTGTTGTTGATGCTGGCATATGATGTCAGAACAATCCATGTTGTCGACAACTGGTGAACAAGATGATAATGATGATGATGACAGCGGTGGTGATAGTAGTCTCGGTGAAAATTGTTGTGAATGGTTTATAATTTGTTGCTGCTTCTGCTGTTGAAGCGGCCTCTGCTGATGTTGCAGCTGCTGGGAATGTTGTTGATGTTGCTGTTGTTGTTGATGTTGCTGCAGTTGTTGTTGCTGGAATTGTTGTGAAAGTCTTTTGACCTCCATGATGTCTTCTGTTCTCTTTTCGTGAGTGTACCGACCTGTCTTTATGGCTGCAAATTATTATTGTTTTGTCAGCATCTTTCATATTAATATTGTTATTATCATTCATTAATATTAATTATTAAAATAATTATCCATTCATTCATTCATTCATTCATTCATTCATTCATTCATTCATTCCTTCATTCATCACGCTTGATTAATTCGTACATTTTTTTAAAAATGTCATTCATCCAGCAACTAGACCTAGAGTAACACATTTCTATAATTGCTGTCGGTTGTTGAACACAAGTTTGCTATAATTATAACAAGAAGAAAAAGATAATAATAATAATAATAATAATAATAACAAAAAACACACAAACCTTCCTTGCACATGCCAAGAGCGAGGCACTTGTTGAACCTGCAGGCGGAACAGGAACTCCTCTTGCCAGGTAGGATCAGGCATTTGTTGTTCTCCAGGCACTTGTAACCCGCTCCTCTTTGCAAGTTTCGCCTAAAAAACGCCTGGATAATCAGTTCGCATAATTAATTAATTATGGCCAATAATAATAATAGTTATGATTATTTATTTATTATATTAAAAGTAGTAGTAGTAGTAGTGGTAGTAGTAGTAATAAAAGTAGTAGTAGCAACAGCAGCAGTAGTAGTAGTAGTACTTTATTACTACATGTAGAGTAAATGAATAAGTGAATGAATGAATGAATGAACGAACGAACAAACGAACAAACGAACGAACGAACAAACGAACGAACGAAAGAACGAAAGAACGAACGAACGAACGAACGAATGAATGGAATGAATGAATGAATGACACATAATTCTATATAACTTTCATTCCTTTTGTACATCTAAAGCTGACAAATGAAATAATGTTTCTTAACAAAGTCATAAGCCTACATGGTGCAAAGCACACATTAAGAGAGTACATAGGAAGGTAGAGAAAAAAAAACAAGACATACATAATATCCTGTAAATGAGCATCACCAATGAATAATTATGAATAATTAACATATGACTGACATATGTCATCATCTGTGTCATCTCATCTCTCTATTTATATTTAAAAGTTAGCATTCTATCTATTGAATACTTTGTAGAATTTAAAAAATGTACTATCAAAAGTTGGATATTACACAACGATACAATACAGTGCATTCATGATAACATGCCCATGAACTGAATTAACTTTGAATCTGCAATCAAAAATTAACCTTGAAAGAATGATCATTTTATAAAATCTGCGTGTGATGAAACATGAAAGAAAAATTATTTTTAGGCAGAGTGTCTTACTGGGAAAATTTACTTGATAATATAAGGCAATAAATAATCAATGATGACTACAACGTGTTACTACAGCAAATTCTTAACTGAATTGGTGGTCATCTCATTTTTTGCATAATGGCTGTGTGCAAAAAAATAAATGTAAATATATGCTATCTGGTTTTTTAAATATTATTAATGTTATTTGGTTTCTATGATATTGTCAATTAAACGCCATACATGAAATTTCACAGAAATCTCATGTCTACATGCCTTCAAAACAGGAAAATATTTGCGGTGGGTCCAAAAGTTCAATAAAAAATTTTCATTAATAAATTGAAAATGTAATAAATTTAACAAAAAACGTGTTATTTTGTATTTTGTTACACATTTTTGTTTATTTTTACTCACCTTTTCACTCAAACTATGTTTGAGAAATATTAAACAGCTGAATGACAACAGGCAAATTGTGTCATAAACATAAATTTGGCGTTGTAAAACATCAAATTTAAATGAACGAATCTGACTCAGCATTCTAATTAAATTTTATGACAGAAACTTCAGCCATATTTAATACAGTGTTATTTAATGGCACATGATTATTTGTGAGTGCCAGTTTTCTCTATGCAAACTTCAAAGTTCACATTTTTAAAAGTAAAACTAATAAAAGTACAAGTACACATAGTACTAATAAAAGTAACAACAATGAACAACGAATAATATTCTACTTTGCAAGCCTCACAAGTGTTGACACCATAATGCAAACCGGAAGCCTTCTCACCACAAACTCTGCATGGTGGCAGCATCGGTGGCGACTTCAATGACTTTTCTTTGCCAACAACTCCCTTCTTATTCTTCATCACTAATATCTCGTCGTTGTCCTTGCTCATTGATATTTAAATCAGTTGAGTCAGCAATATCTTGAGTGACTGCCAATTGAAAGCTGAGTAGTGGAATAAAAAATGATGACATGATAGGTAATATTAAATATAAATATAATAATACTAATACTAGGTATGAGATAAAAAAAGGCAAGCAGTCTCTGATACATAGTATTTTATTGAATTATTCAGAAAATAGCAAATGTTATTTTTCATTATGTTGTTAATTAATAAAATAAATTACCTTACTAATTTAAATTTTCTAATCCAATCGTTTTTTAAAGTAAAAAAGTTGTACCTGCTTGCCTTGCTTTTATATATAATAAATAACTTAAATATTTTTTTTTATAAATAAGGCAAGCAACTTTTTTACTTTTACTTTTCGATAGCCGTTTTAACTTAATTAAATTGGGATGGTTGTTGGTAGGACAAAAAAAGAAAATTAAAATGTTTTTAATTTTTTAATATTTTTTATTACAATTTTAAATTAATATTAAAACTTTAATTTAAATATCATGACATCAAATGCCAACGTTAATATTTATTAAATAACTAACTAACTAATACAAGACAACTTGAAATAATATAAAAAGTTAAATTAGTGAAGAAATATGACAAAAAAACGTATGATCCGTCACGCAAGTAACAACGAGTAGCCTACATGGTGTTTATATTTTAAAAATAAATTATCTCCACGAACCTTGTGACAAAGACACTCAACAAAGTTTTTAAATACAATTTTGTTACAAACCACACTCACACACACACACTTTAAATAATAAATATTTTAAATCAATTTCCAAATATTGCTACAATTACATAAAGGTATATTTCTAAGATTTAATTTCTGAAAAATAGTTAAACATCAGGCACAAAATCGCGTAGCAATGTACTCTATGACAATTATTATGTAACCTTATAGCATGAACGAGGTTATCAGTGCTGAAGATTTTGAACTCGACGCTCAAACATTTCTCGCTCGATGCATTCCAATAACTGAAATTAGCACAATTGCAAAGACTATGACTCAAACTTCAGTTTATTCAGTGCTGTGTCATTACCTGTCACGTCTTCAAACGAACGGTCACAGAGTTAGCTCAATCGGTAAAAGTGTCACGTCTCGCGCTGCTATTCCTCGATGGCATGGTTCAAATACTGTCAGTCCGTGGCATGGTTCAAATACTGTCAGTCCGAAACTCAAACACTGTCACACGGGATTTTATTCAGAATATAATAATTGCCTCTTTCTGTAATTACTTTTCCTGTTGGAGTAAGGAACTGAAGAAATATATATATATAATTGAATGTATCGAGCAAGCAATCTAAGTACGCCATTATTTTATTGCCAGCACTGTTACCTTATTGTTACCTGCAAATCTTTCTATAGTTCGATGTCCTGAGTTCGTTCGTCTTCGTCATGTTAATTTCCTTATAGTTACTCTATTACTAGTGCTGGAATGTTTTATTATTATTCAATTGTTATTAACACAAACAATTTTAATTAGATCAGCATCTATAAATATATAGACAATTAAAATATTATTCACACATGAGTAATAATGAAGCAATGTGTGTTTGCAATGTCGTGTATGTTTGTGTTGTGTGTGCTAGAACTCATTTCAACGGAAAAATGTATTTGATGTTTTAGCTGAGTTATTTTTTCAGCAAATTGCAAGAGACATACAATTCAAAGTATTTTAAATTTAAAAAATTTATTTGAACAGCAGCGTTATTAATTCGATCACCAAAATAATAAGATTGGGGCTGTCCATAAAGGATGTCACGCTTTTTTAACGTTTTTTTGACCTCCCAATCTTTCGTGTCACAAACTTTCACAAATCGAACAACCCCCAAAAATAAGCGTGTCACAAAACTTTACCCCCCCCCCTCTTAGTGAAGAGTCATTAAACAATGTAATTGTTCGATGCATTTTATTTTTCGTTGATATCAAAATAACGAATGACAAGTTTTTATGACGATAGTTTGATATCTAAATGCTTTGCCGTAGTTAAAATATAACGAATTAATATTAACTTCTACACCTACACAGCGGTGAACTTTAACGATGGCATTTAAATTTGACTCCTCCTTAAGTTAATATTCATGAGCTATTTACTCGCTTGAAAACTTTAATATTCATTTATGCGCATATATATGAAAATCAATTTATTTATTGTTTTGTTTATTTAAAAAAAGGGACGTCACATTTGTGTTTACCCCCCCACCCCTTCGTCACAAAGTGTCACAAATATTTGAACCCCCTCCCCCTCGAAGCGTGACATCCTTTATGGACGGACCCATCTAGGTGACCTAGTAGACACTAGGTACGATCTCAGCCATTTCTGTATCCATATGTTTCTTAACCAGATTTTCTGTTAATTCGCATTGTATTTTTCATGTCTTTGGGCGATCATACAATTTTTTTAGAACTTCATCGTCTCCCGGCGTTTGCTGAATAAAATAATTTTAATTTGAAGCGACGCATTATGAGCCGCTTTGAGACTACCGTGTTCGAAAGCGAAAAAACTACAGGAATCACAACTACGACAGTCACATACAACAATAGTGATATGATTCAATCCGATAAATTTGTTCTATCACGCGTGCTTACGTTCACGTGTGCAAGCTTGTGTTTGTTGTCAAATGTTCAATTCAAACGCGTTAGTGAACTCTCCCGAGAGATCACAACAAAAGCATCAGTGAATCTGATTGACTGATAAAAATTATTTCTGCTATCATGGTTAAACTAAATTTAAAATCTTTAATATAGTTTTAGATTGACCATGAGATTATTTAATTCTTGTGTCATGTTCTATATTTTAGTAAAAGTTCATTAAAAAAATCGCAAATGTCAATGTTGTGTGTGCTATATTATGATACTCGCTATATTCCAAGAAAGATATGACAACCACTGTGTTATTTATACTTTATTTAATATTTTCCGAGCCTAGACACTCCATCATTCCAACAAACAGCCTGAAAGATACAGAGTAAGATTATAAAATATTGACATTGCCACAACTTGCTATGATTCCTTCCAGTGTTTGCTGTCAATGAAGGAATGGCGACCGCAATTTAACCGGTAGGACATTTGTAATGCTTCAGTTTGAATGTGAACTAGTTAAACGTCTTATAATTTATAACATGTTTAGCATCATTTGAGAATAGCTAGTCGTTTTTAGTGAATGTTTCAGCCGCAGTTGAAGGTTGTATCAAACAAAGCCTTCTCCTTTCGTTGTCTCTGTTTTGTCAAATCAAAATCACTATATTAATCATAATGTATTATAAAAAACAAGAAAAATTATATCTATCATCAATATTGTTCAGGGAGATACAAAAACATTGCAGTGAAACATTGTACAGTGCGCCAATCAAATAGGCAGTAATTTAACATATTCTAAGTAAATGAGGTATTCTAAGTATAAGACTTTAATTGATACTATAAAATAATTTTATTTAAAATTAAAAGACTAATTCTTCGTGTATGACTATAATATACTTAAAATTTCGGATATTTTAATTTTAAATGTAAATGACTAAAAATTACTAAGTAAATGACCATAATTCGAAAGTTTTAATGAACCAAATTATGAATGCATCCATCATTTTTCAAAAATATGTCATTAATCAATTAATGACTGGAGTTTCTTTTTTCTAAATAAACAAAAATTGAAAAATGCGAAAAAATGTAAACAAAAAACTTAAACAACAAAAAGCGAGTAAACAAACGAACTTGTAAATATGTAAACAAGTGTACATACGTAAAGATGATGAATACTAAGTATTAAGTGATCAGCTGATATCACGTGCGCGCAATTAAAAAGTCTTTGTTCGATTTCTAGATAACAACAACAACAACAACAACAACATTGTTGTAAACAACACAAACGGGAACACGTTTTTTTTCTTGCTTCGCTAACCGACTGATTAAACAACTCGTACGTAGTGACGGAGTGAAAATTACACTAAATATTGGTAGTGTAATTATGTATTAAAATTAATAGAAGAATAGGGGATCCTTTGCATGTGCTTGATTTTGATTTGGCTGAAGCTTTGCAATCTTCTTCCTAATAATCATATGATCCGTGATATTTCAAAATATATAAAAGAGGAAAGAAAGTTTTAATTTCATTTCAGTCGCTTATCTTGTCTTTTTGTTTTATCTCCATTTCTAAAGTATTATTTCATTCAATTGTTCAATTCATTCTACTTGTTCGGCAGTTTATTTAAAATTTATGATTTAATTTAATAACTATCAACAATTCAACTGTCTCAACCTCAACGAACAACATGTGGACTGCTTCGGATGTAAATTTTGGTCGGATGTTTTATCTTCCTTTGGTCATAGTGGTTAGTCTTGTCTCATTATCGTCCTCTTTACGGCCCATTGTTATGGGTTGGTCAATTTTTGTTTCAATTCTTACATTGATTTAAATTTAAATTTTATTTAATAATTTAATTTAATTTCAGTATTATTTTTCATAAATAATTTTATTTTAATTTAATTTAGACATTAATATGGGTCTGTATTATTATATTATAATCATTATATTTTATTGTAATGCGAAAAATTGTTAGTTAATTTCTTTTTTTGTTCGATTTTGTTTGTTTTTCTTCTCTGGTTAATTTATTGACTATAGTATAATTATAATTAAATTAAATTAGTCAGTTTTTGTAAAAAATCCTTTAGTATCAAGAAGATTGCTATTTGAATATTTGATTGAATCAACTTTCTAGTATATCCAGGGTGTTGTATTCAAATTTATTTCAACAATTATAAAAATAATTATTAAAAAATAATAAATATTGAATACGTAGTGCCTGGCTTGGGGGGCACGCAGTTGGAGGCCCGGTTAAACAGGACATCAGTGCCCCATTGGTACTGTTACAGAGTTAGTGACTGGTTCACTCTATGGCTCAGTGTGCTTGAGTTGGAAGCAGCCGACTGTATGGTCGATAATATGAGGTTTCATTCAATATTTTACTAAAATTTTTGTTTTCTTTGAATTTTTATATATTAAATGTTTGCAACAAAGATTTTTTGTTATTTCCTTTTTTATCTCCAAATTCTTTGTTTACATTTGTCTATTTGGTTACTAGAGTTATTACAAATTTTGAATATATAAAAGGTTATTTTACGTCGCCGAGAATCACACCACAAGAAATAATCATGGTGTGGAAATTCGAGTTGATCGTTTTGGGAGTACCGAAACAATCGAATGGCTGGACCCCTTTCACACTGTAGGAAGTTAGTGAATGCTCAGTTTTTTTAATTTCATTAAAATTATAATTATTAGCATAATGTTGTTTGTTTCCAACTGATCAAATTTCTTACAATTTGATGATGAAGTAAGTAAAAATGGCAAAGTTATACCTTTTCAACCACCTTTCCATTTTTGTTATCAAGCCTAACTCATGCCTTACATAGGCAGAATATGATGACAAAAAATGTAACTCATTGTGTGTATCTTCAAAAGCACAAATGTTGAAATAATTCATAAATTAATTCACTTCAATGGTTATAAACAATTGCATCCATTCAACTAAATAACAGGATCACATTTTGCATATTTCACAAACATCGTTGAGAGCCTGATTAAGGCTGGCTACCATAGAAATGTCTCCGTCAGGGGTGTGCCTTTTGATTTTAGGAAAGCTCCAAGTGAGTTTCAAGTTTTTTATCAAGTTACCATTTGTTAAATTTGAATTATTTTTAATTATTTCACAAGAATCTTAATTGGTTCCGAAACGTTCCTTTGTTGTACTTAGGTACATATGATTGATATGCCATATAATAGAACTTACCACCGACATGTACAATTGTTAACAGATGAAATGGACAGTTTGTTCAAGCAAATGACGAAGCTAGTCGAAGAAACGTACGAATTGAACAACAAAACTCGAATCATCTTGATGGGTCACAGTATGGGCAACAACTTCATCCTCTACTGGCTCAACAGACAACCACAATGGTGGAAGGATCTCTACATTGACTCCCTCATCTCTCTTGCAGCACCTTGGGCCGGCTCTGTTAAGACTCTTCGGTTGATGGCCTCTGGTCAGTTTTTTTTTTAACAAGATTAGATTTGTTTAAATAAATTCTGCTGTATGTATTTGAGCAATTCATCTTGAGACCGTTGTTAATTTAATTTATTTAAAACTGGATTTTTCAGCAATGTGCATACTTTCACACAACTTTTAAAATCAGATTCTTTCAGTTTTTTAACTAAATGATGTCGTTATGACCCCTCAATTTTTGTGAAATAACAAGAACCTCATTGTAAACTTTCTTGGACATTTTGATCCTAAGTATTTTCACATCTCACCTTTTTAAAAATATGTACATCTGCTTCATGGAGTGTTAAGCGTATAAGAAAAATGAATCATATGGTAAGATATGACATACAGTTGATTGATTATTTATTCAATTATCATGTACTACTTTCAAACCAGGTGACTCCTTGGGTCAATCGGAGCATGTCATAAAGCCCATCCAGGCTCGACCGCTGGAGCAATCGATGCCAAGCACGGCCTACCTGATGCCCGGTCCATACTGGCACAAGGATGAAGTTCTAGTCATGAGTCCTAAAAGGAATTTCACTAATTTAGATTACGAAGCATTCTTTGAGTCTATCAATCATACAGATGGCTTTTTGATGTGGAAGGATACAGAATCATTAACAAAGGTGTGTTGCAGTTTTGTTCAACTTTATGAAAAGAAGTTTAACGATTGTAACAATTTTTGTAACTAGGATTTGGTAGACCCAAACGTAAAAGTTCATTGCATCTATGGCCTTATGAAAGTCGATATAACTCCTGCGGTACTAGACTACAGAAAGGTAAAGTCAAAAAACTGGTATGACGAGCAGCCTGTCACAATATACGGACCAGGCGACGGTACGGTCAATGAAAGAAGTTTGAAAGCCTGCAATAAGTGGTCCAACGTCGAAATCAAGCAACTCGATGACGCTGAACATTTATCAATTCTTCTCGATCCAAGGACGATGGAAATCATTTTCAATATCATTTCCCGATAATTAATTACTTCTGGATTTTATTACTTTTAAATTTTATTAATTTCTTTTATTGTTATTGATTTTTATTTTCATTTCATAAAACGTACATAAGCAGTTTTTACTCTTAAGTAATTGTACAGAAATTTTTAGAAATTGTTTGACTCTCATAATGATGCTAACCAAAAGTACTGCTGCTATCAATTAAATATTGATGTAACTGGTAGATTTTATTTCGATTCTAATAAAATTATTTTTTGTGTTTAATTCATCACCTTTTTGACAGTTTTAGTACGCAAAACATTCTGTAGTGCGGATATGATGTCGAACTGTAGGTACAGAAGCTGTCCACAGCCCACAGCCGATTATATAATTGTTTGGTTTGGTGCAAAAATATCACGTAATGTGGCGACATTTGTCTCAAATTGTTGGTAAGCAAGGTTTTTCTATTGAGATGCAGAACAAATCTGGTTTAGGTGATGGTATGGTGGACACTATTACATCTGCATATTCGTTTCTAAGAAGTTTCTTGTAGTAAAAGTAAGACTTGAGAATTGAGCTGGCAAAGTCGACGATGGTTCAATTACGTCGGTGTCCGCGTTTTTCGTGGCAGCATTTCGAGGTCGAGAAAAAAATTGCTCAAGTCAGTATCGCTAGTTTTTGAATTTGGTTTCATTTATGGTGTCTTTCGAAAGCTGCGGCTGTTTAGTATTTATTTTTAGATTTTCCCTGCCTTTCGAGTTTTAATTACCCAAACTCGCATGTTCATTCAGAATTCACCTGCTTTCCACGTAATATTTTGCTTGTTTTTTCACCGCTCTTTATTTTTTTTTAAATTGTGACATAAGCTGTGTCATCGAGATTTGTGCTGTAGAAAGTATTTAAACGTTTACAAAATAAAAAATCTGAAAATAAGCACCCATCTGCACGTAATTGCAAATTACGCAAAAATAAAAACAATTTGTTTTAGATCCTTCACGATTTTTATTACAAATAAATGTTTCAAAATAAACGTCAACATTTGTCTTTGTGTTTGATGTTGTTAATATGATAATTTTCATTAAGTTACTTCTACACTCTTTCTTCGTATTAGTTGATTCTGAAAAGCCAGGAGTTATATTAGGCGAGTAATAGATAAATTAGAATACTTTGTCTAAAAAATATTTTTTTTTTAATTTGTAAGAAAGTAGGTATATTTTAAAAATTACTGAACTTTAAAAAATGTTTATACTCGCTAAACCAATGGACACTTAATTTATTTTATCTTTAGTTCCCGGATTCAGTGGGAATCAACTGGAAGGATTTTTCATTTCTAATTCGGATCAGTTTAAGCAATGCAGGATGAAAGAATCAGGATGGTTTTTAGTGTTTCTCAACATAACCCTGAAACTTGATTGTGCGAAGAAATATTTGAAGTAAAGAAAACATTTTAACTAATATTAAATGTTCTTTAGTTACCGCGAATATAAAAAAAACTCAGTTTACATATAATGCCATTACATAGCGAGCTCGATATTCCCTCCTTATTTTGATTATTCCGACATCAACCGCATGTTTGAAAAATGATAAATAACATATAGCAAATAATGCCTCGGTACCACCATTCCTTCTTTGTTTTATGTATCGCTAGTAGAGGTATTAAAAATATTGTATGTTTAAACGCGAACTTGCGAGTTAATTTAGTCAGAGCAAGATGTTGAATGTACGAAGATGGATGGGTTGTTTGTTCCCGGGGTGAGAATTTTTGGACAGTGGTGTTTGTTCATTTTCTGTGTTAATTAATTTTTTATTAATTTCAGATAGTGTGTTAACATTTATTTTATTACAGAACGTGTCGGAATAATTTCTTTTAAATAATGTCAATAATTTTCGCGTTTATCGTACAACATTCCAAATAATTTTATACATTAAAATGTTTCAAAAATTGCACCAGATTGACTTATGATCGAACAACCGGAAACACAAAGAGCACTCATGACGTCGACATTTCAGCCTACACATACTTCGGAAGCACTGAACCAATGGAATATCTAACGAAAAAAAAGATATATATATCACAATATTTATTCACTGTGGTCAAGTATTTTGTAAATAGGGGTTTCATAAAAGATCAAACGATCAGAGGAGCGAGCTATGATTTCAGAAAGGCCCCAAGTATTTTATTTTATTAAAAAATGTATTGAGGGATTATTTACTTAATTACACAAACTTATCCACGCACGCACGCACACACGCACACATATTAATAGCTAATGGTTCAGTAGACTACCGTATACAGTTGTTGAAAAAATATCATCCCATTTCAGCATTCCGTTGATGATATTGCACTGTTGTTATTGCTAACTACTTTATTTAAACTATCTACCAATTTTTAAATAACTTTAGTCATTTCATTTCTTGAAAAAAAAACATCTCCCAGTAACATTTACCATCATCACTGAAGTGTAGTTAATTAGAAATAATGGTTGTTTTAAACAATTTAACTGCATATTTTCTATTTCTTATTTATTGATTCTATAAATTCTTATATTTTTTGTTCGGCAAGAAAATAACTGCAATATGTTTGAGGTTTTCAAAATTTGTTTTGTTCGATAAACAAGAAGATTGCTCATATTTGGGTTTTGTTATAGTGCCTAAGCTGCAGTTGTTTCCAAAGATAAATAAAAAAGATTCATCGTTAGGCTAAAAATTTTAACTTTGAATTTTTCGTAATTGTTAAGTGATCTCGTTTTTCATGTTTCGTTTGATTGTATATTCGATAATATATAAAATATCACGATGTACATGTATTATTAAATGGGCATCAGATGACGGGATTGGGAAGGGAGGATTAACTCTCAAAACATCTAAATATTGTCTTTTACGATCTCCTAAAAACAGATATAATTGTCTATTAGCTGTAGGCAACTATATATATATATATATATATATATATATATATATATATATATATATATATATAATGTAACTTAACATTTGCAGACGAGTTGGAAGAGTTCAACAGAAAAATGACAAATTTAGTAGAAGAAACTTACCGTATGACCTTCAATAAAAAAGTTGTCTTAATTGGGCACAGCATGGGATGTTTGGTTCTGCTTCACTGGCTGAATGGATTGAATCAGGAATGGAAAGACAAATACATTTCACTGTTCATATCTCTGGCAGCTCCATGGTCGGGCTCCCTATCAGCGCTTAACGTCCTCATGACAGGTTTTCATTATAATTATTTTATAACGCAATAAAACTAAAATAAAATATAAACACTCTAATTAAAAAATATCAAAATTGTTTTATCGTTTTTAAATTTTAAAGGTTCATTTCCTGAGTTCAAAAACTTCAAACTTGATTTGCACGAAGTTAGAGATTTGGCACGCACGTTTCCGAGTTTGGCTTGGTTGATGCCAAACGAAGTGTACTGGGATAAGAAAGATGATCCGTTAGTGATGTCTCCAACGAGAAATTACACTGTCCGTGATTACAGAGAGCTCTTCAGGGATATCAACTACGAAACTGGATACTTGATGTATGAGAACACCAAGAATCTATTGAAGGTCATTACCTCAAATAATGTTTCATAAGCGTAATTAATATGTGTGAAATTGTTTTGTAACATTTTCAGACAAATTGCTATTTTTAAAATTTCTTGAAAATGTGGAAGTAATTAATATTTCTAAAGTGCAATAATTTTAACAAGTTAATTCGACAATTTTATGCTAACAATTTATATAAGATAATATTCTCACCTCATGTGTGTCAACCATTTGTAAGAAGTCAAAACTTATTCTAAATAATAATGATGATGATGATAATAATAATAATAACGATTTAATATTTTAATATTAGTTATTTAGTTGAATAATTAGTATAAATAACAAAATGATGATGAAGTTGGAGAACCCGGGTGTGGACATGTTGTGCGTGTTTGGTGACGGTTACAGCAACAAGACGATACACAGTTTGGATTTCCGTGGCAGGAGTCCGACAAAATGGTTCGACGAAATGCCCGCACTTATAACGGGAGATGGGGATGAAACCGTACCTGCGCACAGCTTGAAGAAGTGCGTCTCCTGGCAGAGGACCAAGATCATAAGAATGAAAACCACACATCTCGGCCTTCTAGCACAAGAAGCTCTCTTAAATTTACTCGTGGAAAATATTACTAATCTCGTCACTACTGTTAATACGCCTGCATCAACAACAACAACTAGTACTACTACTACTACTACAACTGCTGCTGCTACAACTACCACTGTCACCACTGCCATCGCGACCACACCCGCTGAAGTGATTAAAAGTTTTCAAAATTCTCTAGCGATAACTACCAGATCTTTTTTGCCTCTTCTCAACAATGATGATGAAGATGATGACAAAAGTAGCAGCTCTGAAATGAAATTGCTTAGTGGTCTGTGCTTCTTGCTGACCGTTGGCAGCGTCTGGTACTTACATGAACTTCATCAGCTGTTTGACATGGATTGAGTGTATGATACTCCCATGGATTGATAGTTTAAAAAATTTACTAACACTTTTTATTTTTGACAGGCATTCATTTGAATCATTTTATCCAGAATCTATTTCTTTCGTATTTTATTTTGATAGTAAATTTCTTATATGAAGAAAGTGTAAGTAGCCAGACATCGAAACAATTTTATATAAAAATAAATTTTTTATAAAAATAATCACATTTAAAAAAATCGATTTTTATTAATTTTTAAGTTTTTCTTTAATTTACAATTCAGTTAAATTCAATCATAGCGTACATTAAAGTCATATGAATCTAAAATACATATTTAAATATACTTTACCTACGATTTGTCGTAAGCACATGTGCGTTCAGTTAAGACTCAAGTCGAGACCACCAACGATTAAAGAGACAACGTAGCATGATGAATAAGTCATGTGAATGTCATAAACCCTGCTTACACCATACAAACACATTTATTTACTTATTTAGCAGGTTATTTATTTATTCTACATATCCAAAGTGTCATTTATTCTGCTATATTTCTTAAAACTTACTTTTATTCGTTTACCTTTTTTCAATAATTTTAAAGACGGTGTGGTTTGTTGTGTTTGTGAATGCATGCGTGTATGTACGTTTATGTGTTTAGTGTTCACGGCTTCTTGATGTAGTTGGTCTAGTTTGAATGTTAATAATGCACTGTACAAACACGCGGCGCTGTTGGTTGTTTATTATATGTTCCGGTTTTGATAATCCAGAAAGAAATATATTTATGTATGAATATGATTGTGATGATGAGTATTGCTTAGTGTTGTGAGGCGGTTAATTTGAATTGAACAGATACGCAGCATATATGTATTTGTTGTATATATCATGTATGTTTTACCTTTATTAGCTAACAGTACAATACAATTCAATTCAGTGAAGAACAGTAGAAAACCATTCAATACGTGCTATATATGAAACGAATCAAGTAATACAATATTAATACATTTACTAGAAGCTGCTGTCTGCTGTCTGTTTGAAGCATGTCATACAAGACTCCATCTTCTAATCTAATATGAATCTAATATGCAGTGCGTGTGTGATATATGTGTTTAAAATTTTGATGTCAGGTAATTTGTTTACTTGTTTAAGAAAGTTGTAATCGCTGTATAGCTTTTATTATGACATTAATAGGGTACGGTCGACTAATGCCTTTAATAAAAAATTATTGGCTGTTGTTTGCAAATAAAGTTTAAAAATTAGATGAAATTGTTGAAAGATTTTAGTGTTAATATCTTTTTAAAATTAAATTCCAGTTGTCATTCTTTATTTTTACATTATTATTTCATTAGTGGTTTGATTACGAAGGTTTATAAAACTTAAAATGTGTGACAATATCTTTCAATAATCGCAAATCATTGAAAGCATAAGCATACATACAGGCATGCATGCATTCGCTAACACAACAGACCACACATCCCATAGCATAGTTTATTATTTAAAATGCTAAATAACTCTAATAATTCAGTAACAATTAACTTAATTAATCTTAACTTAACTAAATAACTTTTTCATAAAAATAAAATACAGTAAAAAAATAATTCATTTACTTTACTTACTGAATCTCCATCATTATGTCTTCCTCTGATGGCGCAGTGTTTGGACAGATGTCGAGGCACTTTATAGAGTTGAGGAACCAATATTTGAACAAATACTTGACGGAAGGAATACTTTATACTGACAAATCATTTGATAAGTTTTCAACAAGAGACAGCAATAGATCGACAAAAAGTGTCCGCTGGTTGAGACCTCATGTTAGTAGTTAAAATTTTTAATTTATTTAATCTATTCTATAAAAAAAGTTATAGTGTTTATTATGGCTATTTTTTCTTTTTTCATTACCCTAAATATTTATTTTATTTGATTTATCATTACCATTGTAATGCCATTTATATTACCGTTTATACTTATTTTAGAGTTTCATTTTTTTCTGCATGTCTTCATCAATTATTTCTCCATATTATTTTATTTTACTCCCACCACTAAATGCATCTTAAACGTTCTATATTCATAATTTTATTTTCATAGTTTTATTTATACCTTGCACGTTGTTACCTTCTCTTAGTCTGACAGAGTTCGATTTAGAGAATAAAAAATAATTATTTTATTTTTGATTTGATCTAAAAACCGCTAGTTGGTTGTTTGGTTGAATTAAAAATAAAAGTTAAAAACATTGAACGTTTGTTAAGCGTTTTTATTTAAACATTTCTAATGATGATTTTATGGTATTTATGGATTTTATTATGATTATGCAATGTGTTTTAGTGAAATCTTAGATTATCAGAAGAACTATTTTTATATTAGGAGTCTAATTTATTAATTGTTCAATCAATAATTCTAAAATAATTTTTACTCATTATTAAACGCTTAAACGCAGGAAATATGCAAACAGTTGCATTTGCCACAACCAGTTTTCATTGATAATGGTATGAGTATCACTGATGTCAGTCAGGGAGAGATCTGTTAGCTTTTTTTTCTGCTCAGTTTTAACACTTGATAGAGTTTAAACAGCAGTTAAAAATAGTGTTGTATTTAGATTGAGACAATTTTAAAATGGATTTTTTTTACTTTGATTCATACAACAACTGAACAAATAATCCTTGCAGCTAATTGTTGGTTTGTGGCGGTGATAGCCTGCTTGTCAACGCTGGACAACGTGCTGGAGAAGTACGTACCTCCAGGGCAAGATTTTGACCAGTTTTATTCTGGTTCGTTTTGGGTTGTTCGTTCATTTTTTGCCTGTCTTTTTTCTTTATTTTAAAACTACATTTAAAATAAAAAAAAATTTAGTTTCATTTTTCATCTTATTTGAGATGTAGATTTAAAAGTAGGTATGTGAAAAGGATGAAGATGTTTTTGTGTGGTGAAAATGATAATATCACTTAATCACAATAACTAACAGGTTGCTTTTGCTTCCACATTGGCTGTGAGAACAATTTTACGGAAGTTATTGTTGATGATCTGTGAGTGTTTTTTATGTGTTTATTATGCCTTTTATTTTAAATTTTAGGTTTGGATGATTATGAAATGAATTAACTCGCAGTATTCATTCAATTTGCATAACATTAGTTTGCCGGTGGATGAGAACGGGAATTTGATATACGGACGCAACAAGCAAGACAGAAACGAATTCTGGTTTCCACTTTTTGAGAAAGCCTATGCTAAGTAATTAAAAAAATTATTTAACACGATAATGTAACGTAGCACACAAAATCGGCTAATTTATTGTTATTTTAATACTGTTTTGTTAATAAATTTTGTTTTATCAGTCATATTATTCCAAGTTTAAACTGAACTAACGTAAAAGTCACATAGGTGGTTACAAGAACATGGTGGAGAGTAGGATGTCCAGGGGTCTGGAAGACCTAACGAAGGGTGTAGTCAACGAGATCTCCCTCTACCCCAGCATGACTACCGATGTCTTTGATGATTGGAAGGGTCTCATGAACTGTGGATTTTTGTTCCTGGCTTATATTGAGGTTAGTTATGTTTCGTTAGTTAATTAATCTGATTGTAAAGCTGGTGTTGTATAATGAACTTATTTTATTATCTGATGAAATGATTTTCTCACAAATTACCCACTCAGTCCAGAGACAGGTCACAATGGACAAAGGAAGAGGATCTTATGAATGGACTGGTCAGAGGTCATGCTTACAGTATAACTTTCATGTATTCGGTAGGTCGATTGTTAAACTTTATTGAAAATTTTTATGTTGAGTGCTGCAGCTTGAAACTTCAAAAGCATGGTAAAAGTCGAAAATAATTCAGAAAAAATTTGATAAAATGTTGCTCTAGATCAATGCAGTATTATTATAAATTTTTTTTTGGCAGTATATTTCCAGACTGACTTGTTAATGAATTAAAGTTGATGAATTGTAAAACATTTGATGAAAATGGCAATCACAATGAGTGATGATGCTAATGATCAATGACGACGACCGCAAACCTTAACATGGTGCAGATGGATTCCGACAAGAGCGATCGAGTCCTTCGACTGATGCAGCTGAAGAACCCGTGGGGAAAGAAGGAATGGAATGGCGCCTGGAGTGATGAGTAAGTCTATAGACGACAAACAGGAATAAAATGGGAGCGATTATTTTAATTTTGATTGGCTGTACCATCTTAAGAAACCGACAATTGTCTTTTGTGGGCATTTTCACGCTAGTTTTGAAATTTAAAAAATTTAAGTTTAATTATTTTTACTATAAAGTTCATCATACTGGAACTACTTGATGCCGAATGTACGTGATCGATTGCTGATACGAGCGGAGGATGGCATTTTTTAGTAGGTTAATTGTATATAAATTAAAATTCAAATCTATTACATTATCTTTACGGTTTTTATTAATGTTAATGTAACTTAAACTTAATGATAATTTTGCTTCGACCAAAGTGTTGTCATGTATGTCTTTCGCTGTTATTGTTGTGGTGATTCATCTCTGTCATCCGCTTCTTGTGTTGTGCAGTGATAAGATAAATTTTATTTTGAAATTTTCAAAACAGCGTTACAGCTAAATAATTTTGTTTGTGTATCTTACATATTTCTAATTTGTTAACGTTTAAAAATTTTATGAGCTGCTATGAACTACATGATAATATTGTTTATTTCTTGTACAGCATGTCTTTCGAAGATTTTGTCGCCAATTTTTCAGGGATAGCTTATTGCAACTGGGTAGGTTTCTGATATAATGTCAGTTTAATTTTTTGTCGTGATTTGTTTCATACTCATATGTTCTCGCCAATACTATACTTTTGTCTTATTGAAGGCATTATTATTATTATGTCGTATCTTAACTTATTGCTCTGTTATCATCACTGTTGCTTTCACCAATTTCACTGATCAGAAAGGTGGAAAGGTGTGTGGCAGGAAGAAGCATGAACACTGGAAAACCACAGTCTCAGGTTTGCAATTAGAAACAAATTCATAAAGTCTGTCCGTTTGATATTAGCAAAAAGTTATTTTTGCAATATATAATAAGAAATTTTATTTTTTCAATGATTTTTCTTTTTCTAACTCTTTATCGTGTTTAGTAATATTAAAAGGTACTTTTTTCTCGCATGCAGACGTAAACCCAGGTTGTTGCAACTGTTCTGGAACGAATTGGGTGAGAAATATTGAGGACGATCCAAATTTTTGGCGGAACCAACAGTACTTGATTGGTGTCAGTGAGGAGGAATCGAAGGCCAGCCCCGTCTTTGTCATCTCCCTCAATCAAATCTTCCTAGAAGGTCCCGTGGCTGAAGAAAAAATATCGACTGTTGATTTTCATATCTACAAAGTGAGATTCAATGTCATTTAATTTTATTTAAATAGTTTGTCAATACAAAATACACTCATTTTTTGAGTCGACTGAACAATATTATAGTGATGAAGTAGGAGCACGTACCTAACCACTTTCACTCGAACAGTTAAAAGATGACAAAGTTCAAGAGAATCTGACCAGTTTGAACTGGAAGAGTCGGGCGGAGAAAATTGATGCTTGGAACGACAGTGACAAAGGTACGACGGATCGTCAGCTGACGAGGCACGTTAGGTTGGATTCTGGAAATTATGTCCTCATCCCGTGTACGGATGAACTGGAAAGTTCTGGAAAATATGATATCCAAATCTTTTGTGAACACGCTAACAATATCATTTTTAAGTATGTTGTTTAATTTCTATTTTTGTTGTTTACTTAAATATTATGTACTCATATTTTTGCTAATATTGTGTTTCGGCATGTTTGCATTAGCCTGTTCAGTTTTCTTATTTTGATGTCAAACTCCACATAGCATCAGCAGCGTTTGTAGTTATTAATCATAATCAAAAGCACTATCGGACCATTACCATTGCTGTAGTTTATATCTAAATATTGTTTTAATATCATCATCGTCATCATCGTGATGATATCTTCATCACTCGGATCAATAAGATTTTAACCTTTTTCAAAATAATTATTTCTTCTTCAGAGACCTTGTGTCCAACTTCAACAAAAAACCGGTGAGTGAATATTCATTTTTTGTGTCATCATCATTTCTACCACTTTTCATCTTCTCAGTTGTAATGTTACATCAGGCAAACTTCTCTATGATTGCTATTCATTTTGTTACCCAATTAAGTATTATTATTCGTAACTATATCCACTATTTCTTTTCACATCTTTGCGACGTGTTAGTGTAATGGTCTTTTTACGAAGTGACTAGTTTCGAATGCTGAAGAAATCCCAGTCTGACATATGCTCTGTGTGTGTGTGTGTGTGTGTGTGTGTGTGTGTGTGTGTGTGTGTGTGTGTGTGTGTGTGTGTTTGAGATACTTACATAGTGGAAGAATATTTTTAATTGTTATCATTTTATGATCACCAGCTGCAATCTCAAACTAGCTCTGAGAAAAAATCAGCTTTTAGGAGCTTAAGTATCGGGAGCAACCAAGCAGATAACGCCAAAAAAGCTGCCGATAGCGGACTACCAGCCAACGTTAGACAGACAGCTAATGTTAAACAGCCAGCTAATGTTAAACAGCCAGCTAATGTTAAACAGCCAGCTAATGTAAGGCTGTCTGGTAACAATACAACACCAGCTACAAAACTATCAAACACATCTTCGGCAACTTCAGATGTTTCTCTTTCAAGGATGGATCTGAGAACGGCCCAGACAACTTTAAACGATCGATTTACTGGCGGTAGTTCAATGATTCATTATACCTTCGTATTTGTTGCAGATAAATTATATTATTCTATCATCATTTTTCATTAAATTATTATTAAATCTATTATTACTTATTTATTCATTTACTTAGGCGTTTATTTTTTTACTGTTTTTTCTACTGCTTGTTTTTAGTTAAATAATACATTAATAATTGAGGTCACTTGCAATAAAAATAATTACATGCAGTTACAACCAAGAGACCAGCATTAAATATATGCGACAATTACTATCTAAGGAATAGCAAAAAGTTAATAATAATAATAATAATACGAACAATAATACATAATAATAAAAATAAACAAACGAATAAATTTATTAAACAGGTAATGCATTGTACGCTTTGACTTACGAGACGGTTCAAACCATTCAGAACTTCTACAGCGTTAGACACAATGAATCATTTATAGATTTATTATAATTATTGCTATTATTTTTATATGACCATCGTCTACTGTTTACTGTTCTATTACTTCATTATTTTGTCGTCGTTTTTCTTTAAATGGTGTCTTCGTCGTCGTCACCGTCATCATCTTCATCACCACAAATGAGCAGCAGATAAATGCATCAGCAGGAGGAAGAGAGGCACACGACCACCTGAACCAAACAATCAACAATCTCAACAACCTTAAGGTTACACGTCATCAACTCTTCATCTTATTTCTTCGACAACTTGATGTATATGATTGGTTTAAAGACAACTTGATGTTGTATATGGTTGGTATAACGACAACTTGATGTATGTGATTGGTCTAACGACAACTTGATGTATACGATTGATCTAACAACAACAACTTGTTTTTCACAGTCGAAGTTTGAGAGGTTCGCTGAGGACACCACCGCCACAGTGCATGTTCGATACTTGCAGAATTTGTTTCTAGCAGTCCGTTAGCGAAAGTTTTTATGTTATTTGTGAATCGTGCTTCATCTTGTTGCACTATTTCAAACAAAGTTGTCGGCGGGTTGTGAAGTTTCATGAACTGTGAAGTTTTCAGAAATATTTTGAAAGTTATTTTTTTCATTTTGAATTGTTCACCAGTAGCGATTAAAACCTACTTGTTCTACATCAACCTGATTATTTTCTCATTAAATAATTTTCATTTGAAAACTTTGCAGATCCAAGAATGGACCAATCCATAATGAATTCGATAATCTTCCGGTACGGAGGTTCAGACGTGCACATGAGTTTTGATGACTTTGTGCAGGCCATGTACAAGACAGTCTACAGAGTTACTTGATGCGCGTTGAATCCTATGGCTAGGCTCAATGATGGGAGTTCCAAGTTGAGTTTTTATGAACTTTTCATATGCACGTAGTTAATGAGTTTGTATGAAAATTTTTGTATGTCTGAGTAAGTGCACAAGTTCGTATGAGCATTCGTAAATGTTATTGTAAACGAATGTTTATTTATAAGTTTGTATGTGTGTTTGTAGCTGTAAAGTTGGTATGAATGTTTTTGGAAGTATTTTTATGTATTCGGGTTCGTATAAGTATTCTAAGTGATTTTCTTGCCGTCAAATAATCATGATTGTACATGTACATAACTAATTTAAAAAACTTCAATATTTTCCAATGAAAATTACAAAATCTCGTTTCAAATTGTGGACCGACCGTCTGTCATCCAAGTTGAATGTGAATGATATTCCGCGCTAGTAAAACAACTTTGCCGTCTCCAACATGACAGTGAAATATTAAGAGTGAGATCCGTGAAATAACAAGAGTCTAGCAAATATACGTACATGCTGCTTGTATGTACTATTTATTCATTTTAGATTTGGCTGGCAGGCTGGCTGGTTGGTTGGTCCTTTGGTTGGCGTACTGGTTGGTTGGCTGGTTGGTTGGTTGTTGTTTGTACCTTACGAAAGTTTTTTTTCATTTTATAGTTCTAAATTGAGTTATTAGATTGTTTCGTAGTTAATTTAATGTTTTGTTGATAATTTTGCATGAACTTGTTGGCATTTGTTGTCTTATTGATATTTCGTCATCTATTAGTTTTTGTCATTTCATTCCAAATTGTTTTGTTGTTTTCCCAGATTTTTTGATATTCGTGTTGTTAAGCGGCCAGTGTAATTTTTTTAAACATTTTTCCTAATAATATCTGGTGCTCAATTATTCCATTTTTCAATTGCTATGTCTCCATTTATACAACTGTCATATGCAGTACATGTAGAAAAAATGTATATTTATTCATGTATGTCTGCCTGTGTGTGTGTGTGCGTGCGTGCGTGCGTGTCTGCATGTATGTGTGCGTGCATGAGTGTATGTATGTGATGTTTGTGTGGATAATGTATATGTAAGTAGGTTTGTGCGTGTGTGTGCCTGTGTGTACGTGAATGTTTTTAAACGTGTATGCTACGTTGTGAGCGGCACAGAGTTCTTCATTCATTCCTTATATTTTATAACAATTTTTTTCAGTGTTTTTACAGATGACTTAATTTATAAATGGTTTATTAATTAATTAATAATTTTCAAGATATAACGTCATTTTGATATTGAAAGCGCCTTTCTTCACATTGTTTACATAATGAGTGATATTAGAGTTTTGTATAATATTTTTCGTCTATATATTTTTAATTACTTAATATTTTTATTCAAACAAACGCAATAGAGCGCGAGTGGGCAAACTATGGCCCTTTTATGCGGCCCGCGAGTCGTCAGCCAGACATTATAAGCAGAAAAAAGGAACCACATATCTTAAAAAAATTCTCCGCCGGGTCGAAAAAATTTGCCATTTCAGTACATATGCGGCCCTTCAAATATAAAATAGTTTTAAATGCGGCCCTCACAGTAAAAAGTTTGCCCACCCCTGCAGTAGACTCTTAAGAACTCGACAGTAGTACCACTATTATTACGACTGTAAATACACATTAAAACATAATAGTTAATTCATCTTGCCTTCAGATAATTACCAATCTTGTTTATATGCATACTTGTGTTACTTGTTTATTGTCTTAATAATGCAATGTTTAGATGTTTATACCATTTTTAATCAAATATAATTCCTTCTGTTTTGTCTAATAGCAACTAACTAATTTATTAATTAATACACTGTTAAGATATTTATTATATAATCTTGTAATTCACCACAGACACACACACACACCACACACAAAACACACACACACATAAAAGTTTAAGCATTTTGTTATTTTAAATGTTATTTTAGAATTTGTTACAATTCCGTGGTTCCAATATTCATGTTATTGACTTTATTTAACCACCAACTTTCTTATCTCATTATGCCCAACTTAAAGTAATTTGTATTAATTGAGTAACAAATTTGATAGGCAATTAAAGAATATACACACTGAAATAATATTTATTATTTGATAATATCAATCTGAAGGGAAAAAACGTGCCGCTTGTGTTTGTGTGTGTGTGAGTGTGTGTGTGTGTGCGTGAGAGAGAGAGAGAGAAAGAGAGTGAGATGCCGCTATGTGTGGTTGAGTCCGGTTGTCTGCAATGTTATGTATTATTAAGTTATGTTATGTGGTGATTATTGTGCCAGGTTGTGTGTGTTTAAGTTATGTCACGTTATGTGATTGCACTTAAAAATGACTATTGCAGATTGACGCGGAGAATTATGTTGAGCTATCAACCTTGTAAAATTAAGAAAATTATAGAAAAAAAAACAATACATAAATCGTTTAACAAGGGAAATTTAAATGTAAAAGTTGCAATTCGTACGCTACAATATTTCCGAATTCTAGACAGAGGAATTGATTTAAAAATTTTGACTAAATATATGAAAATTGAACTAACAAACCATATCATTATTATGATGCTAATTGTTATGATTTTTTTTTATGGGGAGAATTTAATTCGAAAAATCCGACAACAGTGCTACATACAATGAATGAATGAATGCAGGATGAAAATTTGAAAAAAGATATCTGTCCAATTTGAAGAGAAATTTATAAAACTAGATTATAAAGAATATTAAACTAAAAAAAACTATCGAACTTTAAATAAATTTAACTTAAATCCTCGATTTTAATTTAAAATTAGTAAATAAAAACTACCGGATAAACTAAACCATTGAGACTTTAAGACTCCTAATTTTAAGAGAATGAGATATTTATCAGCGAAAATTTAGAAATTGAATGCGTATCACTTTAAATTTCATTGTAGAAATTTGATGATGTACATACACATCGAAATAAACATCATAATATTTTATTAATTTGATTTTATTTGAAAATTTTTCTCGAAGTCGGTCTGTTACGACTTCTTAGCAGTGTGAGCTTCTTCAGCCTCTTCGTCGTCCATTATTTTTTTGTGGCGGGACTCGATCAGATGTTTGAAGTATTCCTTTATTGATCTAACCTGGATTTCCCAGGAATCAATTAATTGATGTTTTAACGTTTGTGTATTTCATACAAAAGTTGATTACTTTGGATAGTTACAATGATCATTTCCAAAAAATCGATCCCAAAAAATTAAAATAATAGTATTAAGTTTGCCGATTATGTCAACATCAATAACTTTAATTTACACCATAAACTAAAACAAACATATAAACAAACAAACGGACGAACAGACACACAAACGAACAAACAAACACACCGTATCTTTCTCGAGGATGAAATCAGCAGCCTTCTCGGCGATCATGACTTGTGTGGCGTAGGTGTCAGCGCTCATGGAGGTCGGTATGATGGAGGCGTCAGCCACTCTTAATCCTTTCAATCCTCGAACTCTGATGGGCAGTTGATGAGCCGTGGAATTTTTAAAACATATTAAAAAAAATAAAATGTCAGTAATTAGTCAAGAGAATATTCACAAACCTCAAAATGGGGTCGACCACGGCTCTGGGGTCATTGAGAGCTCCCATCTTGCACGTCCCCACAAGGTTGCCCCCGGGAATAGTGATGTGACGAAGGTGACATTCCACGTAGGCGTTTGTATAATTTCCATACTTCTGGCATTCAGGAAGCAGTCTGTTGGTCAGTTTGAACTCCCAGTCCTTCATGACTTGAGTGTGCAGGAGACGACGGGCAAACTGAAACCCTGAGTTTGAGGAAAGTTATGGCAGTGGTGTGTGGATTGTTGTGATGTAACAACCGTAATAGTGCTGGTAGTGAAACTAATTACGTATGAAAAAATGTTAAATGTTTTGATGATTAATTATAACTAATTGAAGTTAGATGAGAACGTTAAAATCTGTTGATCTCGGTGCAGTTGAGTGAGCATTTCATGGAGGTAAGAAAATATTGAAAGTTAAAAACCTTCAGTCAAAATTTTAATATCAATTTCTTCTGACAGATAGTTGGGGTCAATGAGAGGTGGATCTTCGGGATTGGTAGTGTTCAGACGAATGGTCCCTCTACTTCTTGGGTGCAGCAAAACTGGAAAGATGGTGAATCCTTCGCGGGAAAGTGGTTTGCCGTGGATCTCTGCCCAGGTCTGAAAAAGATCATGAGCAGTGTGGAGTTTTGAGGCTAGTTTGAATTGAATTTGTTTTGTAAAATGTCGGTTTAAATAGTCAGTAAAAATAATTGTCAATGATCAAATGATTTAAAAAATCCAAACAAACCTCTTTTTCGACGTTCAAGTCACTGGCTTCATAAGCTTGGGGGTTGGCAGCGATGTGGAGTGCCAACAGGGGGTACTTGATGTTCGGAGGCTGGTGGCGGAGGCGGATGTAGGCGGTGGCCTCTCTGAATCTTGGACTTGATTTCATACCTGCGAGAGAAGTAGTGACCTCTATTGAATTTTAAATTTATCATTTTTTTCAAATTGGCTATGATATATTTTGTTAACAACAACAACCTGTGTAACGTTGCGTCATTCTGAACTTTTAATTAAAATTGATAGCTTTAATAAATATTCAATTAATAAAGATAGTTCAACGCTATTTTCTCAATAAAAATCACATCTCAATTGGAAATATTTTGACAGACCAGTGCCGAAGAGCGAGTAGGCCCAAGATGAGAGCAGACTGTCGGCCATGTTGATGGTGATGCTGACGCCGGGGTAGGGGGTGTAGTACTCGATGCCATCTCCAACCACCTGATCCTGAAGGTTCTCTCCCACTGGCAGATCTGCCACAACTGGAATCTGTGTGGTTCGACGTCTAGTGTTCAGTTTGTGTTAATTATAAATGCATGAAGAGTATTTCGTAGTCTTAGTTGACAACGTCGTCATTCTTTACTAAGTACCAATAACTAAGTTGTTTGTTTGTTTGTTTGCTTGCTTGCTTGTTACAGGTAACAAATGTATGATGCATCGTTGAAGCAGTTCGTGACACTGAGCTATTTCAGTTTGTTTACATGCCTAACTATTGAATTGAAAGATGAAATATGTGATATTATTATTACACGCATGAATGTATTTTATTATTATATATTCAACTGTACACACGCATGACGCTCATATCGGAAATTAACACCTGTAAAGTTTTCATTCACACCTGTTTTGCCGCTTCCACGGACATATTTTTTCAACCAACCTAAATTCTCACATAGCAATCTAACAGACAATAAATGACCTTGAGTTTTTGAAGGTGAGTCTTGGGACCGACCCCAGACAAGAGGAGGAGTTTAGTCGTACCCACGGTTCCGGCTGTTAGGATAATTTCTTTTTTAGCTTTCACAACTTCCGTCTTTTTTTCGTGTTTCAGGACGATACTGTCCGCTCGTTTACCCTCAAACAAAATCTGTGAGAGATTATTTGAACAATTTTTGAAAATTTTAATCTAATAATATTACAAACTTTTTAAACGGTTAAAGTTTGTGAGAATAAAGAGAACATCTGACTTAATCACTCATCTATCATCATTCAACATGTTGTTCGCTGAAGGATAACATTCAGGCAATTTCAATTTATTTATTAATTCATTCAACCTATTGACCGATCTATTGATCAGTCAATCATTAATTAAATCATTGAATGAATTATTAATTGAGCGATCTACCGATCAATCAATCATTAATTAATTCATTGAATAAATTAATGAAATGAATTAATGGACTAGCTATTCAAAAGTAGGACCTTCTCAGCAAAAGTGTCAGTAACAACATGCAGGTTTGGCGCGTTCATGTAACGTTTCAAGTAGGCTTTGAACGTGCTCCACCTCACTCCATTCCTTATTGTGGCTTGCGTCGGACCCCAACCTATCACGTCATTTCTTTTATTATATTAAAAATAACTGACTCTTGTTGACGCCAAATCAGTTACAACATGCTTAATGACAAAGGGAAAAAATAATAAAATGAAAAAATGTAGGAACGACAATCGTAACGTGTGGAATTAATACGTAGCTATATGTACTCAAACCACCAGTGAACACATGACGATCAACATTCACATTTGAACATAACACACAACGGACCGAACTGATTTTTCCCGTTCAAGTCTCTCTTCTTCAGCGAGATTTCTTTGAAACAGAGTCCCATGATCTGGTTCATGGTGGTCGGTCCAACGTCCTTCACTGCCAGTCGACCTCCAAACCCGTGGAACACTGGTGGTGGTGGTGGTGGTAGTGGTGGTAGTGGTGGTGGTGGCGGCGGCCTTGGTGGTGGTGGTAGTGTTCGTAAAAAATATCATCAACCTTCTAAGTGTAATAACATTCGAATCTATGATGAACGTTTTAATGTACAGTAACTTTCAAAGGCGCACATACAAAGAACACGAAAACAACTTTTTCACTTAACAACATTCAACTTGAAATTTTGCCCAGCGCCTGTTGCTTCATGTTATGGAATTTGAACATGAAAGCATGACCGTGTAAAAAAAACTTCTTGAAATCAAAAACATACAACATGAATATTTTTATAAATAAGCAAACAAACATACAAACAAACAAACATACAAACAAACAAATAAACACACAAACAAACAAACAAACACACACCCGTCCTGACAAACTCTCCATTCTGTTGATCTTCTGACTTGATGAAGTAGGGCAGAACATCTTTGTAGGCCCAACCAGCAGCCCCGTTCAACGCCCAGCCGTCGTAATCATACCTGCTTCCTCTCAGGTACTGCATGTAGTTTATGTTGCTCGTCCCGCCAAGGCCCTTTCCAGAATGGATAATGGCGCTCTGTTTGTCAAGTTATTTGGTGTTCGTTTGTAGGAGTGTCAATCGTTCAAGGAAAGCTTATTTTAAAATATCCTATTTGAACGAGCATATACAATAGGGTGGTCACAAGAAATTTTTTTTCAAAATCTTATCGGGGGAACCCCCTAAATTGTGCCACTTGACTAAAAAATGACATTTGTAAAGTTTTAGCTCAATTGGATAATGCTAACCCGTGCCTCATCGAGGTTGAAATTTCGAAAAATTGGAAAATTTTGAAAAAAACGCAGTTTTTGGTTTGTTAATAACGGTTCACTCTAGAAACATGATTTTGGTTTTATTTTGTTCATTGATTAGTTTTCTTCAAATCACTATTTAGCTACAAGTTATAGTTTCTGACATATTTGCATTGTTACAGATACACATTGAAAAAACGTTGAATTTCTCCATAACACAAAAACACACAATAACTTATTTACTATTACTAACCCGGGTGCTCTATGTTGTTTTTATGTATTAATATTAAGATCTTTTGGTTTTTCTACGATTTCTCATTTTTGGTAAGGAGCAGTTGTACATTGGGATGGGAAATTACTTCCAGATATGTTAAATAAAGAAAATGTTGAAAGAGTTGCAGTCTTAATTAGCTGTGGAGAAGAAGAATAGTTAAATGGAGTTCCCCAATTAGAGAATGGTGCTGGCAGTACAATTGCAAAATCTGTTTATTCAGAACTTGGAAAGTGGGGTGCACTTGACAAGATTCAAGCAATGTCCTTTGACACAACTGCCATAAATACTGGCCGCATTAAAGGTGCTTGCGTTTTATTAGAGCAATTGATGGAGAAAAAATGATTGTATCTTCCATGTCGCCACCACATTTTTGAGGTAGTTTTGAGATCCGTTTTTGATGCTGTGATGGGAAAGACTACAGGCCCTCAATCGGATATTTTCAAAAAATTTAAAACTGAATGGAACAACATTGATAAAAAAATTTAAATCTGAAGTTAAAGATAAGAGTGTGGCCAGCAGATTGATTAATCCGGGTCAAATTTCAAGTTATCTTCTAGAACAATTAACAGTTCATCATCCAAGGAGCGATTACAAAGAATTGATTAATCTTTGTCTTATATTTTTAGAACGCTTTCCGTCAGAAAACATCGTGTTTGCGGCTCCTGGTGCTTTTCATCACGCAAGGTGGATGGCAAAAGCGATATATTCGTTGAAAATATACCTTTTCAGAGAACAGTTTCAACTGACAATTTTTGAAAAGCAAGGATTTCATGATATTTGCCTATTTATTATAAATATTTGTGTGAAAGTGTGGTTGGATGCCCCGAAACCTGCACTTGCTCCAAACCAAGATTTACAATTATGTCAAAATAAACACATCGGAAAAATTGATAGATGCTGTTGATTGCTGAACTGAGACGCAAACCAGAATACAGCCAAATTACAAGTGTTGGAAAGCAACAAAATGTACTCACCTGATCCACATGCCCTTTGCAAGCAAACTTCTGAGGAACAGTTTTGTGGTGCCAGTCCAACTGAGGCGTTCTAATGCTGTCCGCCATGAGAGGTATGTCGACGAGAGGGTTGGAGGAGGGGTTGCTGCCCGCTTCCACCAATAAAATGTTGAAGTCCTTGTTGTCTGCCAGGCGAGCTGCAAGTACCGCCCCCGCTGTTCCCCCACCAACTTTTTGGTACGAAATTTTAGAGTGCTACATACGCCGGCCATTTTTATCATAATTGAATTTAATAAAATTCACATGCTGCAACCTTTCCATATTTATTATATTTTATTATATAATATTTATATTTTATTTTAGATCGAAATAATTGCTTCTGACATTTATACACTCACAGCAGTAGGAAATTAATTCAACATTGATATTCAAATTATTTACAACGATCCATTATTGTAAGCAAGAATTTTTCATAATTATGAATAGCAGCTCTGTCATTCACATTCAATAACAAAGAATGTTTAACTAAAATGTTAAAAAAAAGAATGTTAAATTTTGGGGATACAACAACAACAACAACAGCAACAGCAGTAGCAACAACAGCAGCAGCAACGACGCACCTATGATATAATCATATTCCTTCTGTAACTCTTTGGCCTTGATGAGTTCGACGAAATAATCACCCAATCCCAGAAGTCTGTAGAAGGTCAAACCAATGCCCACCACGATTATAGCGGGAATGTACTTTCCGATCGACACTAAACCATTTGGGAAAAGGATGATGTAAGAATGATGACGTAAAAATGATGGTGGTGAAGATTGTGATACTTAAGATGGCGACGATGATAACTTTGGTCTCAAATGATTATCGCGCAATGTTTAGAAAATCCTTAAAAATGATAATAGATTATAAATAATAAAGTTTATATAAGTAGAGTTAGTTACGAGATGTTAGTTTAAGCGGTAAAAATGTAGTGATGATGATGGCGGTTGAACGAATGATAATGAAAATGATCCTAATGGTTATAATTCTAATCATTCTGATGATGATGATGATCACAGTGCAATCGTATCATGATTACGAATAAAAAATAATTAAATAAAAATATTAATGTTTTTAATATTAATGAGAGGAAAAAAAAGAAAAAATTACTAATTTAATAAAATAGCTCACTTGTGGCGGTAACTCTTCAATTTGCAATGTGTAACTTAATAAAATAGCAATGCTTGTCAGTCCACTTTCAGTTTTCAGCAGTTGCACTTTGCAGTAGTATTATAACTGACAACTAGTATTTTCACTGATTATCCAGCAAATTATAGGTAAATATAACGGTGAATGTAGTATTTGTAGAGTGAGTAGTATGATCGGGTTGCTGTTTTTCGTTCCGTCGTCTGACTGATTGCTCTTTGGAAATCAAAATGCCTCGATTCCTTTCAAGTTAACATCGCTAGAAATATTTTAAAATAAGTTATTTAAAGGTAATAAATTTAATTGAAATTAAATAAATAATCTTATTATCAAATCATTATGTTTGTAAATAAATAGCAACAGTGAATTTTTCAAGTGCATTTGTGTGTTTGTTTGCATGTATAGGTATGTGTCTATCTGTGTGTGCATGTGTTTGTTTGTGTGCGTATTTGCATGTGTTTATGTATGTGTACGTGTATTTAAGTTTGAAATAATCCTATCCAATAGAGTTGTTGGAGATAAAATTTAACGAAATAACAATGGAGTAGTTTATCCATTTTGAAGGTGAAGATCGCCGACGGCATTGGAAAAATAATAAAAATAAAAACAGATTAATATGAATAATATATTATAGTATGATTATATCTTATAATTATTATTTCAATTTTTTCCAAATAAAAAATACAAAACAATAAAAAACTTTGAAGTTTAAAATCTGATATCTGTAATAAAAAGAATTAATTATTGATATTATTCCGAAAAAAAACTATTGAATTGCAACAACACACCACAAAACGCACACAAACAACAGCACAAAACACACTCAAACAACCTCAAACAACAACAACAACACAACATATCAAACAACAACAACACACTTCATACAACATACAAAATAAGCTGCCTGCAAATAAGCAACGCTTCACCGTGCAACTATGCTAAGAAAATTATTTTCTATATTTTTACATATTTATATATAATATTTTTGTTTCTTTACACTATATATATATATATATATATATATATATATATATATTACGACTGTCAGATATATACATAATAATATATAATAATATATTTTTACATTTATGTTGTTTGAAACTAGTTGGAACAAATTTTTCGATTTTTTATTTTTCTAAATCGTAAATAAACATTGCCATGTTTCTTGAGTTCAAAACAAAAGTTTTAATTTCTTTTAAACATGATAGAACATTTAAGCATGATAAAACAAAAAGCTTTTTTCGGTATTTCTACACCATCTTCGGTGTTCGAATTGCTACGTTGTGTATGTGGCCGAACCCTCAAGTATATATCTTGTGCCTCCAAAATGTTAACTCTTTGTTTGCTAAATGTGAATACTTAACAGTCATTTAATCAGTTATTACGATCTTCAACTCTGTGCAATGTGACACTTTTACGTGTCATCATTATCGATGATTCCTCTGTTTCTGAATTTATCAGTGGGAAGGATTCCAATTTCCCGTTGTTGAATTTTTATTATCGGATGTCTTCGTTCTATGAGTATTGACTCTCTGGTCGCAAATTATAAGGGATGTAAATTCTGATGTAAGATTTCAACATTGTGGTCCAAGATTTGCCTAGTAATTTTAGTTTTGGGTTTTTCTTCTTTCTTCATAGTGCCAGTTTGTGCGTGCATTGTTAGTCTTCTTGATTAGCTCGATCGTCGTCGTTGTCAAGAAACTTGACGACTTACGATCTACCATTGGAAAAATCGAAAAACTAAACAGAAAACTAACGCGGAACATACTGTGCTTTTTATCAATAATTTATATATATATATATATATATATATATGTGTGTGTGTGTGTGTATATGAATGTATATAAGTTTCTAGATTAACCCTAAATGATATTTCAATCTCACAAAGAACTTTTTGATGCTAAAATTTATCTGAAATATCAAAACTGTCGCATAAATGTAACACCATTGTTGTTTTTGTTGTTTTTGTCATTATTTATAATCTTTGTTGACGTCATTTTGGATGTTATCATTGAGTAGAAAAAGACAGCAACGATGATGATGAAAATGATGATAGTGATTTAGAAGATGAAGGTGATAATGATAATAACGGCGATGATGATAATGAAGACGACGATAGTGATGATAATTAATATGATAATAATACTCTCAGCTCATATAACCTTGCTAGAATAAGAATAGTTGATGTTAGTTGGTTCGTGCAAGGCGTGAAACGCTATGTTCTCTATTGGACGGATGGAACTTAAGAGATGAAAGGATGGTGATGATGAGAAAGAGAAGGACATAAACAAAAGAGAGTGTGATAAGGAGAAGTGAGAGATAATGATAAGAAAAGAGAGAGTGATGATGGAGAGGAGGAGGAAGATGATGAGAAATGTGAGATCGTGAAGAAAAGGGGGTTTTCATATGTTAGGTTTGGTGGATATGGTAAATGATATGGTATACATTATTTAATATGATTATGTATGAGTATGATAAAACTATTATTAGCTTAATTATTGATGATGATGACGATGATAATGACGATGATGATGAAAAAATAACTAATGTTGATAATGATGATGACGATATTGGTAATGAAGAAAAAGTGATGACGATGATGATGATGACGACGACGACAAACTCTGTGGTAATAATGAATGTGATTATAATGATGATGATGACGATGATGATGATGATAATTATGATGATGGTGATGATGATGATGATGATGATGATGATGATGATGATAAATATCAATAATATTGATAAATGATGACAAAGAGGATGAGTTTGTGAAGGAATGTTTTGACGATGATGATATTTAGGATGGTTATTTTTTTCTTTGTTCACTCTCTTCATAATTATTCATAACCAAATGAATATTATATCTTCATCCTTTTACAAAACCTTCATCATTTCAAGTTATCATTTACTATCGAAATCTTCATCACTTTCTTAACCAGTATCATCATTTTCAATAATCATTATCATCATTTACGTATAATAGTATTTGCAATAATGGTATCAATTGCTATTTTTATACCAAAACTAAACAGCATCATCATCATTACCATCATGGCCTTCTTTGAGAACGTTATCATAACCATCGCTATCACTATCATCATCTCCTTAAAATGTATCATCATCATCAATACCGTCGTCGTCATCATCATCAACAACAACGTGTTTGTAAAGAATTACTTTTATGACGTGTCTTTAAATTTATGCATACACTAAAAATATAAACAGCAATTATTATAATAATAATAATAAGTATAATAATAATAATAATAATAGACAATAATAATAAGAAAATAACTATTACTTCTATAACACACTACTGTGTGTGTTAATTTAACGAAAACAATATGAAAAACATTGTTCTGTAACTAATATTATTATTACTCTTCTTCTTTTCCTTATTTTTCTTCTTCTTTTTTTCCCCCTTTTCTTCTTCCTTTTCTTCTTCTTCTTCTTCTTCTTCTTCTTCTTATTATTATCATTATTACTATTATCTTCATAATTTTTATTATTACCATTATTTGTATTTGCATGCTTATTTCTGTTAAGAACCCAAGCGAGCAACTGTAAGCCAACCAACCTCTCTTGCATAAATGTATCATATATATATATATATATATATATATATATATATATATATATATATATATATATATATATATATATATATATATATGCAATTTGAGTATGTGCATATGTATAATTCCATTTTCCAGTGAAAGGTTTATATGTGTATGGCAATTTGTTCAACTTTCTCAACGTTTTTCATGCGTGTTTATGTGTCTATATTTGTATTTTTAAGCCTTTTATTTTAATGGAACTTGTTTTTCGACCGGTTTTTTTAAATATTATTGTTTTTTCCAACATCTAACTAATTATTTAATTATTCATTTATTCGTTCGTTCGTTCGTTCGTTCGTTCGTTTTTTTTGTTCTTTCGTACTTTCATTAATTCGTTCGTTTGTTCATTCAATCAGTCAATTGTTTTCCGATGAATACACGTTTTCAGAAATAATTTTTATAGACACCCAGAAATTATCAAATAAAGATGTGGTTTAATGGAGTGTGAGGCTGATTAGTCAAAACTTCGTCTAATTTTATTTAAATTTCAGACACTTGCTAGACCCCAAAAAATTGCACGAAAGAATGTTGAACGAACGAGAATACGATGAACATTTCTTATTATTATTTTCATTAAAATGAAAATAAATAAACTATTCTAATAGATCTATGCACCATTTTCCAAGTAGTTTAATTAAGAAATGCTGCTAAGGGTCACTATCGACCCATGTTATGTAATTGTGTCTGTCAAATATGTTATAGATTAACGGCCTGTATTTAAAATGTTTAAAGAGTTTACTGAAAATATAGTTTGCCTGTTGTCTTGATCGCCTGTAGTAAGATTATCTCATCGATGAAAATTTTAATTCCACAAAGGCGCAGATGACATTTCGTAGCAGCGCGAAAGTTTGATTTGCGCGGCGATAATTTCTATCCTGAGTGAAAGAGAACGTCATCTAAACATTTGTGGCAAGTCCCTTTCAGCAGTTTGTTGAGAATGTGTACCATAAAAATTAAAATACCACAAAAACACAAATTTTATTTCTAACATTAATGGCCAATTCGGTATTTTGAGAAGTATGTGGAAGTACTTTTCAACTTTTCAATTACTACTTAAGTTGTTTTTTTTTTGTTCTTTGTTTTCAAACACTCGCATTGCATGTAACGAATTAAATATAATCAAAGCTGAAGAATAAAACAATGCTATTTATTAAATTTAAATTCAGTCACACAAATATTTAAAAATAATAAGTGATAGGCATAAATACCAGATATAAATAGATGTTTTGTATGTGTCGACTTCAGAGAACAAATAAGAAATAAACACATACAAACAAACTTATAAATACACAAACATCTGTTTGCATACACACACACACACACACACACACGCACACACTAACACACATCTTTTACTGTTTGTAGATATAAAAAAATATTTAAAAAAAATAAAAGTTAAAACGGAGAATATTTTGTAAGATTGTAAATAATGTGGTAGATAGATGGTGCAAAAGTTTTTCAGTCATTAAAAATAGCATACAGTAAAATGTGTTTTATAGTTTATCATACATAGTTAAAACTACTCAAACACGCCCTGATATACATAGATACATACACATACATGTAGTACATCAAATATATACAATATATAGACAAATATGATCAAACCATAGGTCATCCGAATAAGGTAATTTATTTAGAAATATAGTATACATCGGTTCGTCTTCAACTGTTTTATAAAATAATAACACCTAAGAATGTTTATATACGTGTGTGAAGCATTTTATATTAAAAGTAATAATAATAATAATTATTATTATAATTATAAGATATATATTTTTATATCTTAGCTAAAAATTTGATATATAAGATATATATTTTTATATCTTAGCTAAAAATTTGTAGATACTAAAAAGCGGTAAAAAGATGAGAAAGAAACATTTTAAGTTTCAATCGACAGAGTTCACATTAATGAAACATGACAATGATGATGACGTGGTGATGACTAAAATGATAAGATGATCATGATGTGATAATACTATGTCGATGGTGATGGAGATGATTACAGCCGGTTATTATAATGATAACTGGTAATGATAACACGACGACGATGATGACGATGACGATGACGACAAAGATAAAGTAAAAATGATGACACTGATGAATACCGATCACATTTTGTTAGTGATGATAATGATGACAGCAACGAACTAAAAATTTCTGAGGATGATGATGATGATGATGATTACGGTATCGTTGGCGATAGTGATGATAAAATGGAAGATGGTGAAAGTGACGACGACGACGAGGAAGAAGATGATGATGGCGATGATGACGATTTCTTGGTTCGTATTGCTATTTTCTGTGGCGGTTTTGGGGTGGATTTTTTTTTCATGGAAATCTTGTTGATCTTTCCTTTGGAAACTGTAGTCGCAGGATGAATATGTTAATTTAAAAAGGCTAATTTTAAATATGTTAATTTTAAACATGTTATTTTTGAATATGTTAATTTTTAACATGTTAATGTTTAATATGTTAATTGAATTTTATCTTTCATTCAATTAACTAATTAAACGGAAATATTTAAAATTAAAAAAAAATTCTAACGGTCAATTACGAGAATGAATCTTAATACGATAGGTGGATGCACATATTGTCAGTATCATATATATATCATCATCATTATTATCATCATTATAATCATCATCATCAACATCATCATCATCATCATTATCTTCACTTCTGGGCATGCGCGGTCCATCGATGGTCACTTTGATAGCGTTCAGGTACATGGCTACCTGGACAGGCGCGCTGTGGATGGTGATCGTTATGTGGAGGTGCTTGCCTGGTTGGTTGGTTGATTGGTTGGTTGGTTGTGTGGTTAGTTGTGTGGTTGGTTGGTTGATTGGTTGGTTGTGTGGTTAGTTGGGTGGTCAGTTGGTTGATTGGTTGGCTGGGTGGTCAGTTGGTTGATTGGTAGATGCGTGAAGTAATTGTTTACAATGGCTAGCTATATATAATAAACGCTGGCAAACATAAATAAGTTCGTAATGTGTATATTTGGACGAAATGCGGCTAAACAGCAAAACACAAACACACATACATTTGCACATTTCATACATTCATTTTTTATACATTATATAATATAATGCATATAATTTATAACGTAACATGCGTCTTTACGTTGGAATTTCACACGTGCATATTGACAAGCACACAGTAACGCATTGACATAATAACAAACCACGTACACGTACACACATGCATACAAACACGCACACACAAACACACAAACACGCACACACAAACAAACACACAGACACGCACATACAAACACACACAAAGACTTGCGTGTAACTTACTGAAAAGACCTCAGCTATTTGAAGAATTTAATTTAGAACGCAAAAACACATTAGTCATATCAAGAAAGTACACACACCTATGCAAGCACATGCAAACACATGTGAGCACATACAAACACAAACATGCTAGCACGCAATATCACACAGTCCCTTCAGTCCCTTTGAAAGACAAGCCCGTAAAAAATATATACAAACATATACAAAACACTATAAAAACTATCATATACAAAACATACCAAACACATACAAACATATATAAATATCTACAAACACATATACAAACTTATACAGACATAAAAAAATACACATAAACATATACAAACATCTAGAAACAGATACAAACAAATCTTATATACCAGAATGTAAATGCTACACAAATCTACCTAATCAACTAAACTGAAAGTTGGGAGTAGCAGGGAAAGATTGAAAAATGCAATAACAAGAGTTAATATAAAAGAGAGAGAGAGAGAGAGAGAGAGAGAGAGAAACAGAAAGAAAGAGAGACAGAAAAAGAGAAAAAGAAAGAGAAAGAGAGATATGAAGAGAGTAAAAGAGAAAAAACTCTACCCCCATTGTTTATATAAAAATTTCCCGCATTTTTCTCATTATACATTCATACATTATCCATTTATTTTTACATTCGCTCATTCATTTATTAATGTTTGTTCTTAAGTTCATTCACGTTACTTAAAACCTTCTTATTTACATCGTAATCGTCGTCATCTTCGTCATCATTATACTAACTATTGGGAAAAAACATTGCTGCAGAAAACAACAGCCATTTAAACTAACTTTAAATGAACGGCAACAACAACAAAGAACTACAGTGAACAGATAAATGAATACAAATTCTGAAAAGATGCATCAGAAGAAATCAGAGCTGATTGAGAACAGCGGCGAACGACAACGATAGATACTCACTCGCATCAATTGCATCAACATAATCATTAAAAATATCAACATCATAACATATTAACGTCATCAGTAACAACAAAACCACAACAATAACATCACAAATAGTAAGCATTAGCTATTTCGACAGGTGAACAAGACTGAACAACGACAAACGCAACAGCAGTTGTTTCTCAACCAATTAATTACTCACCGACAACATCAACAAAAGCGTAAACAAGAAAAACATCAAGAGATAATAATCCGTAACAGACAGGCAGAAATAATAACAACAACGACAACAACAACAATAACGCAACTACAACATCAACAACAACAACAACCACAAACATACAACAGCACAAAAAAACAACAACACAACATGATGACTTAACATTAAAGAATGCTCGTTCACTCAACAGCACGATACACTCATCAGCACCATGTACCTCTGTGTTCTCTTATCAGCACATTCACACACAACACGCATACACACACACACACACACATACACATTCACACACAACAACACGCATACACACACATACATACACACACATACACACTCACATATGCGTAAACGCACGTGTTACCGCAACACAAACACAGACGAACAGCAGCAAATTGTGACTAATGTTAAGAGTACTGCTAAACTCTCATTTTTGTTAATACCACTCATATCATGTTATTGTTCCTGTTACTATTATCATTATGATTATTATTATTATGATTATTTATTATTATTATTATTATTATGGTTATTATTATTTTAAACGAGTTATCGAAATACCGAGGGCATTAATGTAACATTTGTAGTAGTTGTAGTAATAGTAGTAGTATTAGAAGCAGTAGTAGTTGTTGTTGTTGTTGTATTGGTAGTAGTAGTAGAAGTAAAAAGTAGTAGTAGTTGGAATTGAAGTAGTAGCAATAGCAGTATTAGTAGTAGTAGCAGCAGCAGTAGTAGTAGTGGCCGTAGTAGTAGTAGCAGCTGTAGTAGTAGTAGTAGTAGTAGCTGTAGTAGTAGTAGTAGTAGTAGTAGTAGTAGTAGTAGTAGTAGTAGTAGTAGTAGTAGTAAATGTTGTTATTTTCATTCTATTTCACTTTTTCTCAATAAAAAACTCGGAACATGGGGTACAACGTTCAAATACCGATGAACTAAAAACTTGTTCATTAAAATTAATGTCGTTGTTAACAACATCATCAACAACAACGATAATAACTGTTATTTGTATTGTTGTTGTTGTTGTAATAATAATAATAATAATTATTATTATTATTATTATAACAAAAAATAATAATAATAATAGAATGGCTTTTAAAAATTATTTCAACGTTAAAGTGATACAATATTAGCAGCTGATGTAACAGTAAATATACTAATTAATACATGCATGGTTCTTTTTTGACGCTAACTAGTGTAATAAAAAACATTTTAAAAATATTCAAATTTAAAACCATTTTTAAAAAGTAATAAAATACGTAAAAAAATAACAATTTATAAAATAATAATAATAATGTCATTAATAATAACAGTATTATCAATAATAATAATAATATTTAAAACCGTTTATGAACTCAAGGACATTAATAGCATGCCCTTAATTAGCCCAATTAGAACTAGACAATCAATGAATGGAAGCCAGCCTAGATGCTATATTTAGCATCAATAAACTCCTATTATTACAATAATAATAATAGTAATAATAATAATAACAATAGCAATAATAATTATTATTGCTATAAATAATAATAATAATAATTATTAATGTTGCAATTAACCAAAAATGCTCCACTTAAATTTAAAAAAAATAATGGACTTATTATCAATATTGTATTATGGAGAAAAAGAGAGAGAAAGTGTGATAGAAAGGGTGAGAGAGAGAGAGGGAGAGAGAGAGAGAGGAAGAGGAAAAGAGAGCTTTAGACAGGTAGATAGAAAAAAAAGTTTCTTTATCGGTCACCTATTCAGACCAAAAGTATCAAGAGTATAAAAATTGTTCTAGAACGAAATACACTCTAATAATAATAATAATAAAATTAATAACAATAATAATAAATAATAATAAAGAGTTAATATATTTTTTCTTCTTTATATTACCATTGGTTTTAATCTACTTTAATGTTTTTTATTCAATCTACTTTTTTTCTTGATATTTTTAATTCAACAGTGGTCAAAAAGTAACCCATATATTTTTCAACATTTTAATTTTTTCATAAATGAAATCATACACACGCGCGCGCTTACAGACAAACACATATACACAGATACACACACGTACCTATAGACATATTTAACCATATTAAGTAAATCACATTATTATTATTAATAATATTCATTTATTTATATTCTATAATTAATAATTGTTATTAGAGTTATTATTATTCATTTATTTATATTCTATAATTAATAATTGTTATTGATGTTATTAGAGTTATTATTGTTACTATTGTTATTGTGCTTACCGCGCCTGTGACTAATATTTTAACATTAAAATAACGAGGTGTGGCAACTAACAATAACATAAAATAACAACAATAACAATAATAACAACAACAACAATAACAATAACAGCACGAATTAATAATAACGTTGAAATGAAAAAACAAATTTCTAAGAAAGATCCTATTAAACAACATTGACAACAAGCAAGCGTAACGACAATGCTATAAATAGCGAGCAACAGAAGTATTAACATTTGTAACAACAACAACAACAACATAAACGACAACATAAACAACAGCCTAAACAACAACATAAAAAAACATCAACATAGACAACATCAACATAGACAACAACAACATTAACAATAACATAAACAATAACTTAAACAACAACACAATCAACTTAAACCTAAACAACAACATACATTAAACATCAGTACCAACAACATACACATGACAGAGTGAATGTTATTTAAAATATTTTAACAAAGTTTAAAAATATTAAATGAATGACAAACAAAGATAAAAAGATAATATCAATAATAATAATAATAATAATAATAAATAATAACAATAATAATAATAATAATAATGAACAAGATTGAAAATGTCAACAAACAACATCAACAAGAACTGTTACGCAACATATGGACTTTGAGACCACTACAAATCTTTAAAACCACCGATGATGATGTTGATGACGATGAAGAATATGTTAATGATGATGATGATGTTGTTGTTGTTGATGATGATGATGTTGTTGATAATGTTGTTGTTGATAATGTTGTTGCTGATGATGATGATGGCGACGGTAATAACTGTGGTATGACGATTATAGTGATAATAATGATGATGATGATTATTATTATTATTATTATCATTATGGCAATAAATATTATAGTGGTTATGATGACGACGATGAGGAAGTTGAGGAAGATTGTGAAAAATTTCCCTAAGAGCAAACAATGCAATAATGGCCGATTTCGTTGAAATATATATATATCTGCTATCAAAGACATCACTGTAATTATTTTTTACCACATGTACATAGACACACACGCTCACACACATACATACAAACACACATACATACACAAACACATACACACACACACATATATACACGTGTGTGTGCACGCGCGCGTGTGTATACATATATATAAATATATATAATACATAATATATAAATATATATTAGTGAATGCTAGTAAAAAACCTTAATTAATGCAATAATTTATAAAATTTACCGAATTTCTAGCGTTGGATAGTTTTTTTATTACATTTCTCAATATTTCTAACCAAATTTTTGTCGTCATTATTTATTTTATTAAAGTTAGAATAGTATACTGTTTTCCAATTCATTCTCGAGTGTATAGGAGTGTATAGGAGTGTATTCAGATACCATCACCACATATGTCATTGATACCGTTAGTAACGTTAACTCTATAACCGTTGCATAGTCATCGTTATAATATTTGTCATCATTTCGTAATGATCAGAATAGGTTCATAAATGCTACATCATCATCTTAATCGTTCAGTCACTCATAACTTGACCAGCCAATTAATATCATCATTTGCCATATTCACTCTTACTCGTTTCTAACTATTTTTAATGTCATCATCTGCGTCATCGTCTTCATCTTCATCTTCATCGTCGTTATAATCGTCATCATCATTATCATCTAAAACATCATCATCTTCATCGTCATCACCATAATCATCTAGAACATCATCATAATCACCATCATCATCATCCAACCTCTGCCGCTTCTGCCAATGAACCTCAGGTCATTGAATACTGCCACCTGATTGGTCACATAGGCCGCATAATTTCTTAGCTCCGCCTTTTCATTGTTCTCATTGGCAGCCGAAAGTGTTACCATGGTTCCATCTTTGACCTTGCCTAGTATTACGACCTTCAAATTCGGTTTGGATTGTGGTGAATGTTGAAACTTTTTTGATTGATAATGACGATTACTTTTAAACTTGATATTAACACTAAAGCTTTTTACATGTTATCATCACCCTCATCATCATCATCATCATCATCATTATCATCAAAGTAACCGCCAACATCTTACAAATGTAAACATAATTAATAAGCATTTCAAGTACATAGGTTAACTTCTTTGACAGCCTGTATGATTAAAAATACCACCACCATCATCACCATCGCCATCATCTCGCCATCATTATCACTATCATCATCACCACCATCATCATCATTGCAACCACCTTGAACTTGAAGCGCAGTTGTTTGTTGGACCTCCAGTGTTCCGGAAGTTCTGAGCAGATAACATTGGGACTTCCGGTTCTCATCAAACGATGATGTTGATGATGATGACGTTTGTAGTGATTGCTATCATCATTAAGCAACTCTTGCATATGATGGTGGTGATGATTGTACGATGATGACGGTGACGATGATAACGACGATGATGATGGTGAATCTTCTCGATGTTGGTGATGATGACGATGGGTAGGAGGAGGAAGATAATGATGATGGTGATGATAGTGGAGATGATGATGATGATCGTCGTCTGACGAATCGCACAAAATTTGATTGAAAGTGGCTTCTTCTAAGAAAATGTCGTTCATCTTGATGATGATGATGATAATGGAAAAGGGTGATAATGATGATTACGAGATGGTGGTGTTGGTGACGATGGTAGGAAGAAGATGATGATGATAATAATGTGAAAAATGATGAATGAATGGATCGATGAGAAGTTTAAATATTTATTCAATGTGCCAGCACCATCAACAGATTCAATAAAAAATGCCTTGAAGTGCAACGTACATAACGAATATTTAATATCGCCGTCTCGTTCTTATTATTGTCGTCAACAATGCTACTATTATTTGTATTATTATTATTATTATTATAAATTCTATTAATAATATGTTTATTATGTTACTATCTCACTGAGTTTTAATCTAATTTACAACCAATAAAATGATGAATGAAGTTTTAAAATTAGAACAAACAAACAAACACAATCAGACCTATCCAGTAACACACAACCTCCCAATCTTGTCTATCGCTCCCTGAACTGAAACCCAAGATCACAAGTAAACGGTATATATACACAAGAATACATGCGCACACTCGCATATAAACTCATATTAGTATAGGAACTGTCACGTACATATGTTATTGTTGATTAAATAATCCCACATTGTACGTATGCATGTTTATATATATATATATTTTATGTTCGTTGAATGTGCCTTTTAGTTTATGTTGCTTTTGATCTGATAAAAATGATATATATATATATATATATATATATATATATATATATATATATATATATATATATATAAACAATATATGTATATTTAGAGAGAGATGGAGAGAGAGAGAGAGAGGGAGAGAGATCCAAACATTTATTGAAATATATTGAAGTATAAATAATTATACTGTATGAGAAATATCCGGTGCAGTGCACATTATAATATATTGAAGAAAATGATATCGAAAAATATATTGCCCTAGGTTGCATTATCATATATATATAAGATTGTATATATATTCTATATATTCTATATATATATATATGTGTGTGTGTGTGTGTGTGTGTGTGTGTGTTGGTGTGTGCGTGTATATATATGGTGTATACATTTTAGTTTGCATAACAATATAGGTAATATAACATTGATTCAATCGTTAATGTATACTGAATGTATATTATTATATTATTTATTTATAATTAAAAATGTATAAGTTTATATAAATATATATATATATGTATATAGGTTGTGTAATACAATATCATGTGTATGTGTGTGCCTCTGTGTATGTGTGTGTGTGTGTATTTGTGCGTTTCATTAAAGTATGATTAGATCTGTTAATGTGTGGACGATGATGCTGCACTATAAACACACATTCCATGAGCACGTGATTGTTAAAAATTTTAAAGAAACATGATGATAGATGAATGAGGATGGTGAAGATGGGGAGGATGAGACATGAGATGATGTTGCGGAAGATGATGGCAATGGTGATGACGATGAAGATGAAGATAATGACGACGATGATGACGATAGTGATGATGATGATGAAGAAGAAGATGACGATGAAAATGAAGATGAATATGAAAATGGCGATAATATTGATGCTGGTAACAAAGATGATGACGCTACGGATTATGATGATGAAGATTTAGCGATTGTTTCCGCTAGATTAGTGTGCCCCGAGTTACCACATAACGATGGTTATAACATTAGACTCCTACAACATATTAGGGTTGTTATCGTCACATGTGTTCTGCGTTAGTTCAGTTGTTTTTAATTTATTGTTAGGGTGATATTTGTCAGAAGATGATGTTTATTATTATTATTATTATTTATAATAATAATATTATTATTAAAGGGAACATCATTTTGTTTTCATCATAAATCACACGTTAAAAAGAATTGTTAATGAATTAAAATTTAATAAATATTCGTTTCTTTTATTTAAAAAAATTATTTGTAAATTGATCTATATATTTTTTTTGTTAATCATAATATTGTCTCTTGCTTAACAAAAAATATCCCTTTAATTATTTTCAGAGAAAAGATGTAGTGACGATGAAGTTGATCGAATGGTTCGTTTCCGTTGTTTCAAGAAAAATAATTACTTTTTGGAAAATTATACAAAGTAATTAAAGGTATTTCGGAAAAAATTTAGTATTATTATTAATAATAATAACAACAAAAAAACATCAACAATGATGAGAATAATAATATTATTAATATTAAATTACGGTTTTTTTTCTATCATTTTGGGTCCTCTTTGATCTATTCATAATTAGAGAAGCCCCTTACAATCTGAGTGCCTAGCAGCATTGTTGAAAGTGTAGTAATAGTAGTAGTAGTAGAAATAATAATAAATAATTATAATTATTATATTAAGCTATAATAAAATATATATTCATATATTCATATTCATATAGATTGCAAAGATAATAACCTCAAGTATTTGTATATTTTTCCCCGTATTGCAATGCCGTTTACATAAAGTGGGACCATTTTTTTATTTTTATTATTCACCATCATTACCCCCAGTCAAAGCTATTTATAGCCGTTGTAGTTATTAATTCATTATCGGAGACAATAAACTGAAAAATCGATGGTCGAACGAATTGATGAATGAACAAATAAAAAAATTAACGAATAAATGAATTGATGAATGATTGAATTGAAAAATGAATGAATGACTGATTGGATAGATAGATAAATGGACGGATGAATGATTGGATAGATGGATGGATGGGCGAGTCAATGGCAGCATAGCTTACATGTAGGATGGTTTATGGATTGATACACCATTTAAAATAACTTCATCAAATGATATCCCCAGTGTAGGCATTTCTAACAAAACCATTATAGGAACTAGATGAGCAGGCTAGTACTGTAGTTTCACTTTATAATTAATTAATTAATCCTTACAGACAAACCCGGGCTAGAAATTTACCAGAGCCAAATAACTATCTAGGCAGTCAGAAAAATGTGACTGTCAGATGTTGGGATTTCCCTTTTATTCACGTGACACTTAAAATAGAACGCAGAATTCCCGGTTTCATTTTTTGCAAAAGCTGACGGTGACAAAATGAATGATTGTGATGATGATGATTGAGATGATTATGAGAGGATGATAAACGGAAATTGGTTAGATGTTGAGGATGACGTGATGGTGTAAAACATTTTATTTTTATTTTTTAAAGAATTGTTTCAAATTTATTGAAAAATGTTTTTTAATTAAATTTTTTATTCAACATTTATGATTTAACCGCGATAAAATTAGTTTAAAAATTCGAGTACCAATTATATAAAATTAATAAGACTAACAATTACAGATATTTAAAATATTTTAATGAATAACTAAATTAATAAATAATTGAATATTTAAATGAATAAACAAATAAACAAATAATCACAATAATAATGTTGACAAAAAACATCTTATATTCAATCGTGATGATGTTTTTGTATTGTTGAAGCGAAAAAGAGGGCGAAAATTTCATGGCCATATTTTACGTTTAACATCAATACAAGAAAAATAAACAACTTGAATAAAGCTGGTGCGATAGATTATCCGGGTTTTAAAAAATTAAAAGAAAAATAAAACCTAAATAATAATACAAATAAAATAATCATAACTGTAATCATAATATTGAATAGTGATAATAAAACTTACAGTTGTTATTGCATTTAAAAAAATTATTATTTTAATTGCGAACTTGGTTCGTAGCAACATAGCAAGCCGTGAAGATGATCATGTTACATTCTCGGCTGGGTTTTGCGGCGGACATTTCATAATAAATTAAAAAGATAGCAAGTTATAAATAAACTATTCCAGCTATTCATTTACGAATAAACATAAATTTTGTTATCGTTCAATATAAAATCCATTATTTCTACTTTTTTCATTTTTCTCTTCTTCACGCTCTTTCCGTCATTCCTTTGCTTCTCCTTTCTTTTTTCTCTTTCTTTCCACCAATGGTTTTTCTTAATTGGGATCGGATTTAATTTTAACATCCGAGTCGTCAGCAACTTTGCCATCCTGCTCTTGACAGCAGTAATATTTTTTGTGAGCCAGGTACGTCGAAGCGTACATGAAGTTGATGTTGCACTGTTTGCAATATTTGGCCGGATCCGGTTGTACTGTCGGTTCGTTCAGTTGAATAATTGCCGTGGCATCTCGCTTGCTGTTGGCAACTTTGTCGTTGTTCCCGTTCATCTCAACATTGGAGCTTTCAGGTTGATTTGTTTTTAGGTGTTGTTGTTGTTTTTGTTTGATGATGTCTTTGTTGTTAAAGATTTGAACGTTAGTGAAGTTTTCATTTCTTTGCAGCGGAGAGATGCCTTTTTTGTAATTTTTTTCTGTTCGATTGGCGGTAATTAGTCCAATGTTTTTACTCTCGTGCTCATTTTCGTCAGCGGAAGAATTTGAATTCTCTTGATACTCTAATTTTGGCACAATTTTTATTACGTTATCTGGACAAATGTTAAATTCTTTGTTATAGTCTTGCACTCCTTCACTAGTTTTTTTCCTCTTTCCCAGTGACGTCACACAGTCACTTTCCAGACTGCTGCAGCCATCGGGCTCTTTTTTGACTGCAATTAGTGGCGCATTTGTTTCGAGATGTCGTTTAGTCGGACCCCGGCTGTTTGGTTGCTGAAAAATAAATGGCGGTGTCAAGGCCATTTGATGAGAAGAAATGTTGGAAAGGTTGTTAAACTTGCTGTGGGGTCTCGGGGCTTTTGTGGTTGGTGACGACAGAGACGACGCGGCCGGTGAGGTCATTGAGTTGTCCTGCTGCATGTGACTCAACATGTGGATCTCCAAGTGACTCTCCAGGGCGAACATTGCGGGACAGTGCTTGCATCGGTACTGTTGTGGCACCAGTGGTATTTTAACGAAGCCGTTGTTGAATGGAGGTTTGATTGGACACTGGTTATTGTAAATGTTAACATTGTTGTTGGCGCTGCTGTGAACATTGTTGTACTCTATTTTTTCATACGCCTTCCTTGATCTTCTTCTCTTATATGGCTCATTTTTCATCCTTATTAGTTCGATGTCTGGTACATCGTTTGCGTTTCCATAAAAAGTGGAGTTGAAACCGCCACGGTCGAAGACGACGTTATTGTTTGCTATGATGTTCGGGATGTTCGTTTGTTGTGGCAGGTGCGTACTCTGCTGCTTGCTTTTTCGCAAGTTAACTGCTGGTATTTCTTCCACCTCCAGCATGCTATCGTCGGTAAATGTCTCGCCGGCATCATTATGCATCTTACCGTGCATTCGCATACCTCGAACTGTATTTCCACGATATCCGCAGAGGAGACATCGATACACTTTAGCCGGTACTATGTGGTGCGTTCGAGCGTGATCGATCAATCGGTTTTCGCTCTGGGCTACATAGTCGCAGTGAGGGCAACGGTACATGTCCAGGTGGGCTTGTTTGTCGAGTTTGCCTGTACAGAAGTGGATCAAAAGCGATTGTTCGTTTTGAAATATTTGACCGCATAAACCGCAAGAAATGACTGGCCTGTCTTCACCCGAGTCCCCTGCTGTGGTTTTGTTGCAGCTGCCCATCTCCTCATCTTCGTTGTCGTTACTGTTGTCGAACCTTGATGAGCAGTAGAACTTTTTATGAGCTTTCAGTGTTTCAATGCTGCTAAATCTGATTTTGCATGGTATGCAGAAATGTTGCAGGGATGTTCTATTTGCCAGGATGGTCTGGTTCGGATGTGACAAATCGAATTTGCTGCTTTCGTCTTCCAAGTCAACTTCTTCATCCGTCATCTTGTTGCTTGTTAGATTTGTGTCGACGTATTGATCCTCTGTGTGGCTGATTTTTATTTTTTTGGTTATTTTTGAATTGTTGTTCTGTACATTATCATTGCTGACGTCGCTCCTTTTGCTGAAGTTTCTCATGTTGTTTTTAATGTTAAGTTGATTGTTGCTAATGAAGTTCAGGCTGCTTGCGACGTTCCTGGCGTCAACTTCATTACTGGCATTAACATCAGCGCTAACTAAATTATTATTGGTTTCGATAATAATATTATTATTGTTGTTGTTGTTGTTGTTTATGATATTGTTGTTGTTCCGGCTAGCGCAGTAGTGCTGCTTGTGAGCCAAATAATTTTCAACTTTGAAGAAAACGATGTTGCATTCGACGCATCGGTTGGTCCCGGAAGAAACGGTGGATATTTTGTTTGGGAATCTTGGCGATGGTAATTGCTGCTGCGGCTGATGTTGTTGCTGTTGAAAAATGGCGTTGCCCTGGTGCGATGATGCCAATAAGTTGTTGAACAAAAGTGCCGAAATGTTGTTGAGTTGTTTGTTGTTGTTGATGTTGTTGTAGTTGTTTGTCATGCTACTCAAAAGTTGATAATAAGAATGGTGTAAGTGATTTTGATCGTTTTCCAGGTTAGAGTTGATGCTATGACCTGGTTGAAGCTGCTGGAAGAGAGGGTACTGGGTCAACAAAAATTTAAAGAATTTTTCTCGAAATGATTCTAACAATTTCCAATCATTCGCCTGTTGTGGCGATAATGTTGGTGCCGCTGCAGACGATGATGCATCGTGGAAAGATGTTGGTTGGGACGTTGATTGCTGTGATGTTGATGATGACGAGGATGAGTAGGATGGCTTCGACGACGATGATGATGAGAGTATCGATTTCTCTAGTTTGTCTGTCACACACATTCTTTGATCTTCTGAACAAATTACATTTTTTAACACACTTTAGTTTTAATCATGCATACCATTAAATGATAATAATAATTAATGTTTTAATTAACATGTACTAATAAATACAGCCACTAAACTACAAGAAGGTGTGTCAAGCTTGCTATTATCTACATCATAATCGACAGATATCTGAACTCAGAAGGTATAAAATAAAATAAAGATAACACAGAGGTCGCAAATTTTTTCACGGAGTCAAAAGCGATTACTACCTTCACAATCGTTGACGACATCGATGGAATCGCTTGGCTCCTTTTTCACGCAATCTGAAATTTTTTTGTCGCTATCGAGATGTCGCTTGAAGTGTTTGCCGTTGCTGCAACTACTGTTGCTGTTGTTGGGTTTTGAGAGTGTTGTCATTGTTGTCGTGCCTTCGTGGCTTGATAAGTTTGAGAAAGAACTGGAGCATGTTTCGCTGGAGTGGCGGCTCGTGTTGGCATCCTGATGCTTTGGTGGAGTGTAGAGAAAAGGGTTATAGAGAGGTTGTGATGTTGTGGGAGCCTGAGATGTATGCACCGTTGTCGTTGTTGGCGACGCTTGATTCGGTCGGGTGTTGGATGTTTTTGTTGGTTTGGTCTGGTTGGAGCCATATTTCAGATTTGTATTAGTGTTTTCATTCATTTCATTGATGTGTCTGTTTGTGTTGTCAGTTTTGTTTTTGATTTGGTTGTTTTTTTGACAAAAACTTTTGCTCTTTGATGTCACACTTTCCAGTTTTTGTTCGGGCTGTTGTTCCAGTTTTATTTGCGTGTGATGTAATTGATGCGCTTCATGCTGATGTTTCAAAAAGTGCTCCATATTATTTTCAAAAAAATTGGTGTTAAAATCTGGAACTGAAAATTTTTGATCATAATTGCTGGGTACTCCCCCGCTTGTCAGTTGTTGTTCGTTGCACTGGTTGCCAGATACAGGTGCAACTTTCAACATTTCTTTAAATAAATGATTAATTAATTAAATGGTTTTGATAAAAATTTTTTTACAATAATATTAAATTATTATTAACCAAATAAAAAAGTGTTCAATCAAAAAAAAATAATAAGTTTATCTGAAATTCATTTTGGAATCATCGCTTTTATTCATTATAAAAACTGTAATGTAAGGTAAAAAGTAACGCCAGGTAATGTGATGCAATAACAACTGACCACTTTCGAAGGGGTTCGAAGCCGACCTGTTCAAGTAGTTAGCATAGTAGTACATTCTCAATTGCTCTTGCATGAATGTCAACAGCATCATGTTTTTGGTCACCTCACTCGAGGCTGAGGGACAGGAGGAGAAGGAGGATGGCGGCATTGACAGTGATGATGATGATGATGATGGCAGTAAGAACGATGGTGGTGGTGTCGATGAAGATGTGTTTGTAGCGAATAACAACGAAGATGATGACGAAGACAATGATGTTGCTGGGGAGGATGACGTCATTATTAGTTCTGTGGCTGGCTTCTTGGAGCAGTAGCTGGTGATGTGCGCCTGGAGTGTTTTGGGGTTGCTGAACCGCACCCCGCAGTACATGCACTCGTGTATCAGGTCTGAGGGAATCAGAAAATCAAAAAACATGGTGATGAGGACAATGATGATATCTCGATGGTGATCATTGTGAACGTGGTGGTTTGGACGACGTAGCGATGATGATTGCGTGTCTGAGTGTTTCTTAAAACATGGTGGACATGGGTGATGTTGATGATAAAAAATTCAGGTGCCAATTATGGTAGCAGTATTAAATGTTTTTATAAAAGTTAAATGAAATTTTTTTAATTATGTTGTTCCAAGAGCGTATATAATATCCATGTAAAGTTAAATCAAGCGTTGGAGCGATAGAGCAAAGTCGTTTGAAAGTGTGCATTCGAAAGGTTGGTGCCCCTTCAACACTAAAAAGAAAATAAGCCATAACAACGTCCATTCATACTCACCAAACATGCCGATAGTCTGCTCTTCAAGTGATATATTAACTCATTTCAAAAGCCGGCAGCACTACGTAATTGAGCGAATTTTCAAGAAATAGCGACGAAATAGCAAGTCACTGTTGACATCTCGCTTAATAGACGTCAGCGCACTCTGCGTGGCACGTCGCGACCGTTCGCGCATGAACGAACTGGAAAAAGATTTTCTTACTCGCGCGCATTCTCGCTCGCGCGTCCGACAGCGTATCCATCAAGCGAGGAAAGAGACCATCTACGTGTTGATTAGATAGTTAGCCGCAGTGTAATTGAGTGCATCAAGTCAGGCGTGAAGATATAAATAGGAAGGGGGAGAGAAGGAGGAAGAAAGAGAAAAAGAGAGAGAGAGATAAAGAGAAAAAGAATGAAAAATTGTGGGTGCGTTGCAAGCATGATATTGATGTTTTGTTTGTATTAAGTAGTGTCTTGGCGTGATGGTAGTTTGTTCATCTAAGTTTACAATGTGCGTGCGTGTGTGTGTGTGTGTGTGTGTGTGTGTGTGTGCGTGTTATTGTATATATTTACTTGTATATCTCTAACAATGACGATGGTGGTGATGACGACGATGATGAATACGAAAAAAATTTGTGTTCTTGCTATGACGATGAAGACAATGTTGACGCAAGCAAAACAAACCAAACAACAAGTCACAAACACATTTTCTCTCTCTCTCCACTTCACTATCTTTAAAATTTTTTCTTTCTTTTGTCTTTCCTCTCTTCCTCCTTACATCGGATTGACTAGCACAGTATTACGAAGTCCATAACGTCATCACCAGTCGAGCGCTAAGTGATAATGAGGTCACTCACTCTTTCTCCCTCCCTCTCTCTCTCTTTCTTTCTCTCTTTCTCTCTTTCACTCTTTCATTCACTTTCTCCTTCCTTTTTTAATTATAATTTTCTCTCTCTCTCACTCCCTCTCTCTCTCATTCATTCTTTCTCTCATTTTTTCACTTTTTCTCTTATTCTGCCTGTGTGAGGTAACAGAGCGTACGGTATCGGGTCGCGCCTTGATGACGTCATTAACGGCGATGCTGATGATGATGGTGGTGGCGATGATGACGACGAAGAGGTTGATGGTTTCGGTGATGACGATGTTGTGGTTGTTGCTGCGGCTACTGCTGCTGCTGATGATGATAGTGATGATTATTTTTATGATGATTCCGCAAAAAGTATATTTATTCGCTATCATCATATTATGATGATGATGTTGGTTGGGATGATGTTTAATGTGACGACGATGATCATTTTGGTGACGATAATGATTAAAATAACGGCGATGATTAGTTATCATGATAATGCCCCTAAAAATTACAAATAGATCGTAAATAATGATAATTTTGAATATACTGACGATAATGGTTCTAATGATTATGATTTCAGTGATGACGATGATGTCATATCACGTGATGATGATGATGTCATCAATGATGTCATGTCACGTGATAAAATTGGAAGTAGCGATAATGATCAAGGTGAAAAAAAAAACTTATCCTAATCACCAAAAGTAGGTTTTTTATGGCCTGGACTTTTCGCATATTGAGCTTTGTTGGTCTGAAACCGTTGATGTTGTTGCCGCTGTTGTTGTTGCTGTTGTTGTTGTTGTTGTTGTTGTTGTTGATGTAGTTGTTGTTGTAATTGTTGCGCTTGATTTATAAAATTCGCCATGTTCATGAAGCTATTAGCGTAGATTAAATTTTGATTTTCCATCATGTTAAAATCACTTGCAGTTGCAGGTGTTGCTAAATGTTGTTGTTGAAATGTTGTTGTTGTTTTTTTATTGTTTGTTGAACATTTTACTAGCTGTGGATGTTGTTGATGTTGTTGTTGCTGCTGCTGTTGTGGGGAATGGAAATGTTTATGATGTGGCTCGTTTTTAATGGATTTCATAATTGTTGCAGGTGTTGATGATGATGATGTTAACGATGTTGTTGTTGCTGTTGGTAATGATAAAGATGATATTGTTGATGATGACGATGAAGATGGTAATGAAACTGAGAGTGACTGTGGTGATGAAGATGACTGCGATATTATTCTCCTATCGCCATCATCTTGAACCCTATCATCGCATCTATAATCATTATCGTCATCATCATCATCTTTCATCATATCAATTTCCTGGTGAATTCTGACTTTATCATCTTGATCATCATCATTACCATCATCTTCAACGTCTTTATTGCTATCATCATCAACATCATTGCCATTGCTATCATCAGTATCAGCGTTGGTGTTATCAAGATTTGTCACAACGTCATTATTATTATTATTATTAATTTTATTGCTGTTATTATTATTATTATTGTTGTTGTTGCTGTTGCTGTTGTTGTTGTTGTTATTGTTATTAGTAATATATGAGACATTGGTTTTATTGGCATTTGTAACCTTAACCTTTACTTTACCATCGTCATCATCGTCATCATCATCATCGTCGTCATCATCATTGTTGTTATTAATATTAATGTTATTGTTGATGTTTTCTGTTCTATCATCGTCATCACGACCATCATTATCTCTACCATCATCATCATAATCATCGTTATTCAGTGTACCATCATTACAAAGTACTTGTATGTAAATGTTATTATTTTTATTACCAGTTTCGTTATTGATGTTATTGTTAATGTTATTGTTGTTGGTGGTAGTAGTAGTGTTGTTGTTGTTTTTGTAATCACTGTTGTTGATATCATCAATGATGTCATTGTTGTTGTTGTCTGTGTTGCTTTTTCTGATGGTAACTTTTTTGTTGTTGACAATGCTGTTGTTGGTCTGACTAACAGAGGTTATGTCGTTACTGGTGATGATATTATCACTGATGCTGCTATTGTTGGCGTTGTTGTTGTTGCTAATGTTATTGTTGTTGCTGTTGATATTGTTGTTGTTGTTTCTGATGTTGTGGTTGTTGTCGTTATTATCTATGTTGTTTTCGTCATCAGTGACTTCTACAGTCTCAGACAGGAAAAGTTCCGACCCAGGCATCATGTTATGGAGAGCTACGCACCTCAGTTCATCACCTGACAGTGTGAAGTAATTTGGAGTGAGTTTTTATTTGGTAGGTAGACGACATCTTGGAGCATTCACCATGCGACCGCCAGTTTAAAATATAACATACATTCAAATGGAACATATGTAATGAAGATAAATTCCGTGAGCAAGATACAAAAAGTAGATAAATGAATATCTTTTAAAGATACTAAAAAAATGAATAAAAATAATTGTTTACTAACGTAATAAAGTATAGAAAATACAAAAAATTGCAGAAAATTAGTTTTTGTTGCTAAAAATTTATGACCCTAAATATATGTCATTGTAACAATAGTTAAAAAATTTGCTGGAACTTAACCCATTATGCATTCATTTATATCGAAACATGTGTTGATTGATTCAAACCTCAAACCACTTGTTACTTATTACATACGTACTGACTACTAAAGCAAAATACAGAGTGAAACATTGCCACTGTAGACATAAACTTAAAAAAACAAACCAACAAACATGCACACAGACACATACACAGTCACACAGACACGCGAAGACAAACAGCACAGCAGTTGATCCGGTTGCTAATCTTAAACGGAAAATTACGTAAGTCGGATTAGAGGCAAGCGTGTGTATGTGCGTAAATGAGTTTATATGTGTGCGTGGGTGTAATTATACATGCGTACGTGTGTGTGCGTTTATGTGTGTGTGCGTGCGTGTGTGTGTTGCAGCACATTGCAGCATTTTGTGTGCTGATGTTTGCATGTTCTTTACTCTTGCATGTCTCATGAATGCGAGTGATTGAAAGAAAAGATCATCAGTCATTCTTTCATTTATTTATTTACTCAATAAAATTTTTCTCTCATTCTATTTTCATTCATTTATTTAGCCGGATTCCACAATCCTTCATTCATTTATACGTTCATTACTTCTACTATTTATTAATTTGTTCATTCATTTGTTTAGCTCCTCCAAATATCTTTCATCCATTTAAAAAATCATCCACTCACTTCACCCGGCCAATCAACAAACCACCCAATCAGCAAACCATCCAACCATCCAAAACATTATACGTATTGCACGTGATAGGTGGGGACCACGCTAGCATTCGAACCCAAACACTGCGACTGCAGGTTCAGGATCAAGTTTGTAAACATTTCGGTTGCATAGCAGAACGTATGCATGTGTGTGCGCCCGTAATAACAATAATAATAATAATTATTATTATTACATTATTACCTCATGAACACTATTTAATTTTTAATTTTTTGCAAGACTCGATGAACTTTCTTAGAATATATCACGGTCAACTACGTAAGATTTTCTGTTTTTCGTACCATAATAAATCTCGTTTCTCTTCGTGTGGTGTGTTGTTGGTCTGTGCATCACAAACAACACTTAATAAACAAGCACGTACGCACTTTGAAGGAAACTTCCACTTACTCAAAAAATTTGGGATCTGCTACCCGCGATAGTTGAGATGATTGCGACTGGAGGTATTGCTTAATTGGTCGTAATTAAATTTTTTTTATTTGTTTAAAAAATAACTAGTATAAATTTATTATTGTTGTGGTTGTTATTATTATTATTGAAACCCGAATTGGTTATTATTATTTCTACTGTTATTTGTATTATCATCGTTCGTTTAATTTATTATTATTGCTGGCGTTCAGTGCAATTGTCTGATCGTTAAAGATTATTAAAAATTAATTATATCATTTGTAACCATCATCATCATCATTACCGTCGTCGCCGTCACCATCATCATCATCATCATCATTATAAATTTAGTTATCATCACCATCATCATCATTCTCTACTTCTTCTTCATAATTAACATTAATATCACCTTTTAAACATTCACTGCCTTCTATATGTTTTTGTCTTCACGATTAAAATCATCATCATCGCCATCATAATCATCATCACCATCATCACCCTAATTTAACCAGCTCAAGCATCTTAATCACCATCATCATTCATCACCAACAACATCATCATCGTCGTCATCATCAGCAACAACGCAAACTACATTAAAATCGTCATCGTCATCGTCATCATCATCGTCGTCATCGTGAACCACCTAATAACCATCGTTCGCCCTAAGCAACATCACCCACCAACAAACTTGTAATCACATTTCAAGAACAGGCGAACAAATGCTCTCTGCTGCACACAACCGCGTCTATGTCGAACGCCATAATTGTCATCATCATTATTATCATTATCGTTGGAACGATGATGATCATTACTATCATCATCATCTTCTTCTTCTTCTTCTTCATCATCATCATCATCTTAATGAAGGGTGACAATATGTGGATGCGACTAAACACCACCGCTACATTTTTGTACATTCATAATCATCAACCACATTGTTAATATTAATTTCATCTAAATTATTCTAATCATCATTATCATCATCATCGTCGTCACTTTCACCACCTTTATAACCCCCGTCATCATCGTCATCAGCAGCATCATAATCATAACCAGCTTCATCTTTTTGATCAGCTCCTTTCATCTTCATCGTCGTCGTGACCACCTTCATCACCATCTTCATCGTCTTCATCAGCAGCAGCATCAACTCCATCATTATTATCACCCCTCACCACTACTCTTCATTATCTCCATTAGAAAATTCGGCGCGATCAGCGAGACATCTATCACCATATGAATGGACCGCCTTGATTTATGGTCCTCCACCACTATCAATGCTCTACCGGCCCTCTCTCTCTCTTTCTCTTCTTCTTTCTCTCTCTCTCTATTTTTCTTTATTTTTAGTTCTTTCTGTTTCTCTACCCCTTTCTCTCTACCTATCTACTTGGTTTTTTCTTCTCTCTCTCTCCCTCTCTCTCTCTCTCTCTCTCTCATGAGTTTACTTTATGTTTATGTTCGTGTTTCTTTATTTTCTAATCTTGCTTTGTTGTTTGTTAAACTTTGTTTACTATTTGTTCTTCAGTTCGTTTTTTGTTTAATTTTTAACTTTTTTTTTTCATTCGCACACTAACTATTACTAAAGCCACTACTACTTCTACTACCACTGATACTTCTGCTGCTGCTGATGACGCTACTCATCATTTTCAAATTTCTATTTTCATTTTTTTCATGTTTCCATGTAGATATGCGTGCGTTTGTTTGTGTGTATGTTTGTTTAATTGTGTGCGTGTGTGTGCGTGTGTGCGCTGTGTGTAGATTGTGGTTAATCTGTGCTGATGTTGTTATATTGTCAATTTGTGCCTGCCTTCTGGTGAGGACAACTTGCATTCTAGATTCCGAGAAATAGTTTTATAAGGAAGCAAAAAGTACAGAGGACATGCGCTATTACTAGAACAATTAGGTGGTTCCTATAACATGCGATTAATAAATACAAAAAATTATTGAAACAATAAATGGAAAAAAATAAAATGATTAGTTTACAAATAAATGAATGAATGAATGAATGAACTATATAGATGAATGAGTGAATGATTAAATGAATAAAAAAATGAACTATAGAAATGAAAGAGTGAATAAATCAATGAACGAATAAATGATTAAACGAATGAATAAAATGAATGAACAAGATAAATGAATGAATGAACGAACGAGTGACGTAGTGAATGAATGAATGAACTCTTTCAATCACTCCCCTCACTTACTCATCCTCCACATCTCTTCAATTATCCCGACCATCGTCCTGTGATAAATGGCCGCTTTCTGGTATTAAACTTTTTATTCATTTATTTATTTTCTTCTCTCTCTCTCTCTCTCTCTCTCTCTCTCTCTCTCTCTCTCTCTCTCTCTATCCATTTTTTGTAATCATCCACGATTGGATATGTTATTTATTTACGTCATTTCCGGTATTATTTGTTACTACTTCTCATTTTTTTTTGTTATATCAATTTATTTTGTTTTTATTTCTATGTTGTGTTTTCGCTTTTAATGTCATTTACCGGTGAATGGTTTTCTGATTTTACGATATAATGTTCATTAAATTGAAATATAAAAGCAGTTATAACAAAAGATTATGACAAAATCGTCAAAATTGTTTGATATTTTGAGAAATTAACGACGAAAAATAGCAAAAGGTGAGGGGAAAAAAGCAACAGCCACGCCAAACAACAAGAGAGATTAAATTTGTACGCATTTTAATCACGCGAACTCACACACACTTTCCAACAAGCACAGTCAAATTAATCAACAGGATTAACAAACAAACATCAAACACACACACGCATACACACAGACACACACGCATACACACACAGTTTACACACACATACGCATACACACGCACACACACACACGCATACACACAGACACACACGCATACACACACATACACGCTTACAAAACACAAGAATATGGATACGCAAGAGGTGATACACATATAAATACCAAATATACACAAACACAGAAAATTATTTAATAATTAAAAGACATGCGTAGAGGTAAAAAAGGAGAAACATGTACACTTATTAAAACACACACGCACGTACAAACACACAAGAATTTGGAAATACAACATACGCATTAAACTCGCAAATACATTCTCGCTCATAGAAACGCGCACATAAACACACACACACACACACACAAAGTTACAAACACCATCCCCTCATTAGATTAGCTTTACTAATGCCCAATTTGTTTCGCGAGATTAATTCAATTGCTTGCCACACATTTTGGCCCTTCTTTCTCTCTTTCCCTCTCTCTTTCTCTCTCTCTTTCTTTCTTTTTTTACTTATATCTCTCTTTGTTTTATTTTTATTTTCATTAACTTTCTCGTGTTTGATCTTGTTTTAAATAGATCTTATTTATATTCTACCTCGCATTAACTTTTTCCTTCGCTGCACATTCAGTTTTTCAAACTGCAGACTGACTATCAGCAGATGCAAATCATTAGATTGTAATAACGACGCGACGCGGTCTTACCAACACATACACATACTACACTCGTATAGTTGTGTATATAAGTTTATTAAACGTACGTCAATAAATAATAATTATTGAAATAAATATTTATAATATTTATACACTTTATTACATATAAAAACACACGCACAATCAAATGTTCAACACAATATTTATTAAATTCATTCAAACACAATTGCATGTTAAATTGTTGTTAATTAATTAATTACTAGAATAAAAACATGATTAATTTATTAAATAATAAAATAGATAATTACCTACCTGATAAAACAACTTTAACATTGGGCTTCTCCGTTTGGCTGGCCAGCTTGACCCAATTAAGCCATTGACCTGACCTAGATAAGACTGTGACATCGACGACACGTTCATCAGCGTTTTTCAACTGTTTGAGTGTATGTTTGTGTATTGTTGTGATGGTGTGTGTACATTTCAATATTTGTGGATGCGGTCAAGTTTGTGTTGTTAAGTATTTCGCGGTTTTGTATGTGAATGTATGTGCGCTTCATATGGGAATCTGTCTTTGTAAATATGTTTGTCTGAGCGTTTGTATGTTTGTATGTGTGTGTTAGCCCGTGTTTGTTTTCGTTTTGGGTGCTTGTTTCAAAATCTAGGTTACTTTTGTTAGAAATTTAAAAGAAATAATAATCTCCTACCTTTAAGGAGTGTATCTTGCCTTGTTCATTAATATTATTATTGTTGTTGTTTTGGTGATTGTTGTTGTTGTTGTTTTGGTGATTGTTGTTGTTGTTGTTATTGATATTATCGTTTGATTCATCCGTCTGGTCACTATCTATAATGCTTAGTGCGTCCGAGTGATCACAGATGTTGTGGTTGTTGCTGATGCGGTTGTCGTGGTCATCTTTGTTGCTGCTGTTGTGGTTGTTAAAAGTGTTTTTGCTGCTTCTAATTATGTTGTTATTAGAGATGTTATTTTTGTTATTGCTGTTCGGGATAACATTTTTGTGCTTTATATCGTCATTGTTGTTGAAATTGTTACTGTTGCAAGAATTGTTGATGTCGTTGTTGTTTTTGTCGAAAGAAGTTGAAGTGAAATCATATGGACCGAAGTTATGGTCCTTTGAAATACTTGACAAAGTGGTTATCGTCGGTAGGATTTGTGGATGTCGTGGCTGTTGTTGTGGCTGTTGCGGTTGTTGTGGCTGTTGTGGTTGTTTTTGTAAATATTTTTCATCAATGATTGAACCTGCAATGCAGCCGCTTCCACTGCAGTCGCTCTGAACGCCACATTTTATTTTTAAGTTATTCGGCGAGGATTTGCCAGAAAAATATTCAGCAGAAATTTTGCTGGTTTTTAAAATTTTTCTGTTGGTATCTGTGTTTAAATTACCAGAATTGTGTTTGTTGTCAACAACGTCGCTGTAATTGTTGTCGTCGTTGTTGTAGTCTTTGTTGATCTTGCAGTAAACATTATTGTTGATGTTGTCTCCGCCGTTGTCGACGATGTTGCATAGACTGTTGCATAGACTGTTGCATAGACTGTTGCATAGACTGTTGCTACTACAGCTGATGTCGTTGTTGTTTACATTATTGTTTATATCATTGATGATGATGTTGTTGTTGTTATTGATGTAACAGACTTGCAACTCCTCCGGTAGGAAATCCAACATGATGTGATGTTGTTGTTGTTGGCTGTCTAATGAGCAACAAATTTATTATAATTGTTGTTATCATAACCGTTGATTAATTAAAATTAAACAAAAATAAATAGTATTAACAATCCTAGTGAGCTGGTTATATACAACTAAACAGAAAAAAAAATACATACATACACAAACACATACATACATCAAATCAAATTTTATTTCATTCAATCAAAGTATGGGTGTTGATACGGTGTCCCAAGAAAAAGAAAATAAATTGGCAGGTCACCGTATATAAATTGTTCAGTGTCAAAAATTGATTTTGATACATGCACATACATACACATACACACATACATGCACATGCGTATACATGCATACACACACACACACACACACACACACATATATATATATATATATATATATATATATAAACTTATATATATATACATAAACTTATATATATCTATATATATATATATATATATATCTGCATATATATATATATATATATATATATATATATATCACAAAAATGAAAACAAAAAATTAAAAAATATAAAAAGAAGTAGAAACAACACATAACAAACATACAACATACAAAAGAACATACAACAACATACAAACAACAACATACAAACAACAACATTCAAACAACAACATACAAGCAATCAACAACTTATAAACAACAACCTATAAACAAAGACATTGTGTGTGTACAAACAACAAAAGCAAATACAAAGAGAGAACAAGGAAGACAGTGAGAGAGAAAAAGAGATAAATAAAAAGAGAAAGAGAGAGCGAAAAAGAGAAAGAGAGGAAGAGAGGGAGCAAAAGCAAGCAGCCAACATATTGTTGTTGGTGTGATGGAAGTAGCGATACGACTTCAGTTATTTAACTTATCTCCATTCTTCTCAATCACATACATTCCTGAGTATAAATATAAATAAATAAATACATAAACCAAAGAATAATTTTAGATCTTTTTTCAAAAGTTTTGGAATAAATAAATGTAAATTTAAGAATGAATCAATAAATGTATCCAAATATATTTTATAACAATGAAAAATTCCAATTATCTTTCTCTCTCTCTTTCTCTCTCTCTCTCCCTCTTTCTCTTTAATATGTATATGTATATGTAGTATATTGCTGTGTGTATGGTATACAAATGCAAATGTATGTGCATGTATGCGTAAGCGTATTTAATCTCGCAACCACACACGCACGTACATTCCATGATGTGCCATCTACAATTTACGTATTTCAACGATTATTTTGATATCTTTCGCAATATATAATTTCACACGAACGCATAAGCTAGCGAAAACAAGCACAATCACACGCACACACAAAAACACGCACACACACCATTCACACGTACGTATATAAACGCACTCTCATGCACACAGACGCAAACTTTTTTTGTTGCGATAGTCAGAACTACAGTTTCGTTATCTTATCTCGGCTGACGCAGACAAAAAAACTTGATAGGCAATGCAATTGGCTGTGCGCGTATGTTTGTATGTGTGTGCGTGTTTAAGTGTGCGCGTTCGTATGAATATGATTGTATGTTTTATGTTTTATACATCTTTATATCTGTGTTTGTTTGTGTCTATATGTTTGTTTGTGTGTTTTATGTAAGTATACATTTGTATGTTGCAAATATATGCGTTTGCGTATCCAGACCATCATATAATCGTTTATATATTAAACGAACACGTTCAATATTTTTAAATATAAAAATATGAAACGAGGCGTATCCATACATACGTCCGTATGCACTTTAAATTTTTGGGCTTCATATAGTTGAAGTATTATGATATACTGCAAAAGATCTCCATAAAATCGTTTCGTAAATGTCGGTGAGCATCAAGAGTTGTGCTGGTTAAAAGTAGGAAGAAAAAGAACATGTCGGTCTGCATAAACATCATCTGCAACATCGTCATAATCATCTTTATCATCATCTTCTTCACCTTCTTCGTCATCCTCTACATCATTCTCTTCATCATCTCATCATCATCATATTTGTCACCCAAGAAGCAAACGAACAAACAACATATGAAACAACGAGTCCCCACGACCGTCCTCGACTTGTTTGTTATATTATTAAGACACCCACCATAATTTTTAAAACGTTTCAACATCAATCATGTATGAACACGGCGTCTTAATAACATTAACACAAGCAACAACAACTCAACCACAACAACAACAACTCAACCACACCAAAACAACAACAACAGCAAAATCAGCCAAACAAAGCTGCAGAAACACCACCAAGAACATCCCCTTATCAAACACCTCACATTATCTTCAGCATCGTAAATAACAATTCATATTATAAAGTGCATACACATGCATACGCCATTTACGTACAACATACATGAGTGCACATTCATGCCTACTTAACTATACATACATACACACATACCCTTACACACACACACACACACACACACACACACACACACACACACACACACACACACACACACACATATATATATATATAAACACACACACACAAACAAACAAACATATATATATATATATAAATATTTATAAGCATATACACAAACATTTATACAAATTTTTATGTAGACATACAAACAACCATATAAAACAAGCCACACAAACACACACAAACGCACACAAGCACGCCTCCGTCCGTTAAAAATCAGCATTCCGGGACAGAATATATCCATACAGAATGGTATCTCGTACAATCCTTATATCGATTGTTGATGGATAGATGATTTTGTGGATGAACGACTGCATGAAGAAATGGATGAAAGAATGGATGGATGGATTCGGTGGATGGATTAATTGTTGGATGGATGGCTGAAAAAATGAATGAATTGAACGGAAAGGTTTATAAATTGTTAACTAAATACATTTATATTTCAAAGTATTAGCAATAATAAAAAAATAGAAAAGAATAAATAAACGAATGAATGAACAAATGAATGAGTGAGTGAGTGAGTGAGTGAGTGAGTGGGTGAGTGAGTGAGTGAGTGGGTGAGTGAGTGAGTGAGTGAGTGAGTGAGTGAGTGAGTGAGTGAGTGAAGGAATGATGAATGAAGGAATGAATGAATGGAAAAAATGAACGAACGAACTGTGGCAAAGTATGTAATTAATTATCGTCAACTAAATAATCCACAATACAAATACTATCGCTGAACTTATCACAAATCATAATATTTACAATCTATTATCATAATTATCATCGTAATTATTGTTCTCTGACTATCTATCCAATTAAAACAATACTCGAGATACATCTAATCATCAATATTATCACCGTCATAGTGTTAATAACGTTGACCATTATTATTTATCATAGATCGGTCGAGACAGTTATGTTGAATGGCCCGGATGAATTTATTATTATTAATTGTTCTTCTGGTTTATTTTAATGTTCATTTCAAAGTTTTTTGGAAGAAAACCATAATAAATTATACTACTACTACTGCTAGTAGTACTACTACTGCTGCTTCTGCAACTACTACAACCACTACCACTGCTAAAACTTCTTTTATTATTACTACTTCTTATGCTATTGCATCTGCTGACACAACTATTTATAATAATATTATTAATTATAATAAATAGTCACCCACGATGACTGATATTTAACAACATAAGTGAAAAATAAAATTATTGAAAGCGTGTAACTACACTCTTCTTCTTTCTCGTGCCTTATCCTTTCAGGACATTGGCAACCATCGACCTCCAAAAAACTCGATCTTTAACACTTTGTAAAAGTTGAAATTCAACAAGTGACACAAGGACTTCACGAATGTGATTTATTGATGACCGCGATTTCTTTTCCCTGCTATCTTTCCAGTAGTTTTTAGTTCCATTCTTTACTTCCGCATGATGTGACCAAAAAACTTTAACTGCCCCAGTCGAATTATCTGTACTAATTTCTTAATTTTTTAAAACATCTTCATTCGAAGTATGAGAAGTCCAACTGTGAGAAGTCCAACTAATTTTCATAATTCTTCTCAAAAACCACATCTCAGCATCGTTAATCTTTTCTTTCATTTCTTTAGAAATTGTCCAGGACTCAGAGCCATAAGTTAGCACAGGAAAAATGTAACACCATAAATGTTTTAATTTTGTTGATATTCTGATTTTACTGTTGGTGAGGATGTGTTTCAATTTAGAATATGCATCTTTCGCCATAACTTTCCTTCTTTTGATATCCACTTTACACTTACAACCTGAGGTAATCAGACTTACGAGATGATTGAAGCTGTTGACTTGTTTCACCTACCTACCATTAATGATTATGGAGCAGATCGGGGCGGTCTTTCTTTTACTGATAACCATGCACTTTGTTTTGGTAATGTTAATTTGCAAGCCTTTCCTTTCACTTTCAAAAATCAGTTTGGAGAGAATTGTTTGCAGTTTTTATATTGAATCTGCTATAAAAATTGTATTATCAGCATATCTTACATATCCACACTTAACATATATTTTACTTTCAACAAAAAATATATAAAATTTATTTATGTATATTATCTTTTAACAACTATTGATTTTAATAAGCTGACAAAATTTGTGGAAATAACACCCTCAACCACATGCACCTAGAAGTAATATGCATGTTGGCCTGCATATTAGTTGGTGTTCACGAATACACACACAAATAAGTACGCATTCACACACACACAAACACACATACACGCGCACATACACACGCACATACACACGCACACATACATGTTTTCATAAAAGCGAGCCATATATATCAAGACAAACAAAACACCAAAAAGAAAGAAAAAGGCGAAACGCGGAGACGGAGAGAACGGAGAGAGAGAGAGAAAAAGAGAGAGAAAGAGAGAGAGAGAGAAAGCATATTATCAAGGACTGACATCTTTCGATAAAATGGTCAACCACCCTGAGGACCGCCCGTGCTACGGACTATCCTTTCATTCTTTCTTTATCTCTCTCTCTCTCTCTCTCTCTCTCTCTCTCCTCTCTTTGCTCTTTAGTATTTTTTATTTTTTCCATCATTT